TTACTGTCAAGTATTTCTTAAACAACAAAATTCAACAACACCACTTTTCACTAAACTTCTAACCTCACATCTGGATGAATAAGTTTAAAGTGTACCTAAAAATCCTACAGTGCGGATTGCGACGTTTTTTATACAGATTATTTCTTGTATACACTTGTATAGTAGAAAGTACAGACAGCTCTAAATGCGCCCAATAGATAACTACAGTTTAAAATGAGTGTTTAAAATTACCGGTACTTTAAAGTACCGTCGGGACACAAAGGGTTAAAACAACCAAACCACCCACGGCACTAATTGTTCCATAATATTTCCATTACAAAAAAAAATAAAATCGCTCAACTTAAAATGACGAATTATATACCATAGTAATTTTTTTAAATAAATTTTTTTTTTATTTTCAGGAATGGGTAACAGCAACAGACATAAAATTAACATTAGACCGTCTTAACACATTCGGTGACGAAGTTTTCGGCGATGCAAACGTATTAAAATCATATTTCTACGCAATCTCCGACATTGCGGTGGGGGCAAGATGTAAATGTAACGGCCACGCATCTGAATGTATAACATCGACCGGTATTGACGGATCAACAAGAAGAGTCTGCAAATGCGAACATAACACCGCCGGACCGGATTGTAACGAATGCTTACCATTTTATAACGACGCCCCGTGGGGGAGAGCGTCTGGAAGGAACGTTCACGAATGCAAGGGTGAGTTATTTCAATATTTATGATGACACTCGAGTCGGTCGGTGGTTCTTGAAAAGGATCATCGTCATCGTTTGTTCACTTCTCCTGTCAAATTACGGATGCATTTATGTTTGTTCCGACGCTCTTAACCTACACGTCTACCGTTGCTGTGCCTTCTTGCGGAGTTCGACGCCTACTCAATCTTCTTGTCCTCTTCTTCTTCTTCTCCTCTACACTCAACCCAAAAAGAGATTCGTATAATAACACTTTCACGAACCATGTTCCAACTGTACTGGTTACTAAATAGACGAGGTGCGAGTCGTTAGAACGAATCTCATTGTGTCCTATGCAAACAAGAAACAATTTACATTCGTTCGTGCTTTAATAAGACCTTTCGTTGTTTACAATACTACTCCTACAAGAAGAAGAACTTGTTAACCAGGTGTGGGTTACGATAAATCGTTAGGATTAAATAATAGTATATTAAACAACAAGTTTCGTAAGACACGTTTGAAATGCACGAATTCAAGTTGAAAAACGAGTGGCGAAGCCACGAGTTTTTTAATGAATGAGTGCTTTAAGTCTTATGAAACGAGTTTTTTTTTAAGTTTTTTTAACAAAAATAAAATAAATTTTGACAATGTAGGGAAATAGGTATGCAGCAGTTGGTAACACCGTAACACTTGAAAATAGAAATTTGAATTGACAATTAGAAACTGTCAAAACACAAAATGTATTCACCTGAAAAAAATGTTTCATGTACACCTCCCAAAATAAGAGAAATTGCTCAGTATTCAATGTCCTCATCATTGTGGACCTTGTATTCGATGCTAAGAACGTGTTTAAACATCCATAGACAAAAATTGTCACATTGACAACTAGAAAAATTAATGACCCAATGTCACCAACTTGAACTGGTTCCATAAAATGTTACTAAAATCTCATTACAGCATCGGATGCTGTAAGGAGTCTCATTACAGCACTCGTTTGAGTACTGTTAGAGCTTTCGTTACCGTCGCGAATTACAAAAAAAATCTTTATTGTGTAATGAATAAAAAAGTTTGTTTTGAAAAAGTTGTAATGTTTTTTTCGCATACTTTTGCAATGTCAATTTCTCATTTGCTTAAAAAGAACCGGAGACCATTAAAGGCATGAGAGTTGCCGCTGCGTTCCGCACGCAAGAATCCGATATTAAATCAGTGTCCCATTACAGCCGGCAGTGTGTGTAATCGAACCGACGGAGACACGCAGCAGTTTAGGGAACTAATTAGCGCTTAAGCGGTGCCAGACGCCGCTCGATCGCGAATTTCCCTACCGATAACGATCTGATTTATCGGCAGAACCGCTAATTAGCGTACGAAAGACCGCTTGTAATTAGCCTCTGCTTTCTTACTTTGTAACTAAATGGATGGATACTTGTCTTGGCAACGCATTATATTCTTTTCGGTGAAATTTATCATGTGTTGAACATAAACATTTTTTCATCAATCTCAAAAATAAATGAGAAAACGAAATTTGTTGGGAAGTTTGAATACGTAGAAAGTTCTTAAACCCCTGACCTTTTCGCCCACCGCACCCACGAACACCCACCAACGCGAACGAACGCACCTTGTGACGAAAAGACCGTCGAAAAAAAAATGTATAAAGTACCACGCAAGGTAAGGTAAGGTACCGACGCGACGTCGAATAAGGAAAAAAATACAAGACTAAGAAAAGTCAAAGAAAACGAAGAGATTCGGTGCCATACCGAATGGAACAATCACTCGAGGGACCGGCGATCGATCTTCGGCGTTGAAGAAGAGAACGCGCGCTCGCCGGTCTCTTCATGAGCAGCGGCGGCGCCCGAGGCAGCACCAGTACCAGCCGGGACGCCGAAGAAGTCTTCTCGAGGCGCCACTTCGTGCTGGTCCACACCGCGAACGAACTCTCCCCAGAAAACTAGTAGTTACAAGAACTTCCTGTTCATGGTAGTACAATAAATCGGTGATGTAGTGAAGATGTTTGCGTTGGTGGTACTTTTATTTTGCGGTACTGCAGACACAGCCAAATGGGATGGATTGACTCCATGGTATTACGATACGTGTAAGTTTCACGCGCGTACAAATAATTAAATATCAATAAAAATAATTAATTAATTATTAAAATTGATTAAAACTAAAATTTAAGTTCTACATAAATTTGTTTCACTTTTCAATTTTCTCCAGCAACAATCGATTTTTTATTGAAATGATGACATTGAGAGATCATAATCGGCGATATTAATAAATATAAACGCAGCTGCGTTTGATTCACAAAAAGGAACTGTTTCGCTGTGTGACAGCGTAAGCGCGTTTAAATTCAAAGAGGAATTGCCGGTATCAATTACCCGTTCCTCGTCAATTACGATTCGTACGTAATTATAATTGCGTAATGTGAGAAGACCAAAATTTTTTGCTCGTTAAAACTTGTGGCGGTTTTATTCCATTTTAAAGTTATTTGTGGTTTTTCCGCGAACGTTTCATCTTATCGGTTTCATTTAAGATAGGGATCGATTTTAAATTGTTAAGTGAGTTTTGAATACAATGGTAAATCTCTAAAGCAATGCATACATAAAAAAATTAATACATACGAGTTTCATACCCAGGAAATTTTTTTTGGTATCTAGATCAATAAATATACCTTGGAAATATTTAACATTTTTTTCAATATTCAAAATCAATTTCATATACTTGAAAAGTCCTCAAATCCTCAGGTAATATTTGAAAATTATTGATAAACCCCGTGAAACATGAGAGACAACTCGGAAACTCAATGAAAATCCGTTTGAATTTCTTATAAATACTCTTCATCCAAATAAAACTAGTTTAAAATCTAAATTCTAATATATTCCAGAAATTTGGAAATCTTCAAAATCCCATTCACTGAGGAAATTCTTTAAATTTTTGAAAATTTATTGGTAATCTTCCAGAAATATTTAGAAAAAGTTTAAAACTTGTTTAAAATCTGAATGCATCTTTATCCTTGAAAATGTCTCTCGAGTGCCTGAAAACATTGTACAGGGTGTCCAAATTTCGATGGGTTTGCAGGGTATCTCAGTTATTATGAAAGGTAGAAAGTTGCGGCTTTCGCGAACCTGAGCTACTTTTTTGTGAAACTTACAATGGCGCAACCCAAATTTTTATATCCCTTTTCGTTTTTGATATACAGGGAGTGTTTCAAAATTTACGATTTTCAGACACCCCTGTATGTCGGCTATCCGGTAACGTAAAAATGGGTTCTAATAGATTTTTCACGTAGAATCCAATGGTGCACGTAGAATTTTTCTAGTCATCAAGGTTTTTGAGTTATAAAGAGTTAAGTATTTTAGAAGTTGAGTATTCAGTATTTGAGTTGTGTTTATAACTCAAAAACCGTGATGACTAGAAAAATTCTACGTGCACCATTGGATTCCACGTGAAAAATTAGAACTAAAACTAGAACTAACACTAGAAACTTTCGGGTTTTGCCGTGCGTCTTTTAATAAAAGGTTTGACGTTTCGGATGCCATGTTGTAACCTTCTTCAGAAACTGGTTCGAAGTGACGAGATCAAAAAATCGGTAATTATATATAAGTCGGAAAAACTAATTAATAATCAGTTAACGCTAATTACTAACTAATTAGTAACTAATTGCGTCGCGTCCGGTGTGAGGCGGGAAGAGGTCTTCGTGTTCACCACCATCTTCCATGTTCTGCTAAGCTCCCAGCCATCCTCTCTGTTGACGTTATTATTATGTCGGTAAATCTCTATGGCTTCTCTTGTCAGTCTTTGATAGTATCTGTTGTCCCTAGCCAGCACCTTTGTTTGTTCAAAGTCTATTCGGTGCCCCTCTGCATGGCAAAGTTCCGCAACCGCCGACTGCTGGATCTTCTTCAGCCTTACATCCCTCTCATGCTCCTTGATGCGGCACTCGACGTTGCGTCCAGTTTGGCCAACATAAACCTTCCCACAACTACACGATAGTCGATAGACTCCCGCTCCTTTTAATGGAGTTAGTTTGTCCTTGGCTATCGGGAGTGTGTTCCGAATTTTGCTGACCGTGCCGTACCGCACTACGATGTCGTTCTTCTTGAGGTGCCTAGCAATTCGTTCCGTTACACCTGAAACATAGGGAAGACAGATAAATCCAAGTGGTTTTGTACTTACCGTGTCCTCTTTCTGCTTTCGCTGCTTGATGGCCTGGTTGATGTCCCTCGAAGTGTATCCATTCTTCTGCAGCACGCCTCGTAGAAAGTGTTGCTCCTTCTTCAAGTTCTCTCCTTCACATAGTCTCGCTGCTCGCTGAAATAATGTACGGATCACGGACCTCTTCTGTTGGGGATGATGATGTGAACATGCCTGTAAATACCTGTTGGTATGGGTATTTGTCGTCCTGGTGACCAACACTTCTAGGAAAGGTAGTTTCTTGGCAGTTTCTGTTTCCATGGTGAACTTAATCATAGGATGTTGAGAGTTCAAGTGATCCAAGAACTCTTGGAGCCGTTTTTGACCATGTTGCCATATCACAAACGTGTCATCCACATATCGGAGCCATAGTTTTGGTCTCCACTGGCTCTTCTTCAAAGCGTCCTCTTCGAATAATTCCATGTAGAAATTAGCTATAACTGGCGATAGTGGAGATCCCATGGCTGCCCCTTCGAACTGCTCGTAAAATTCTCCTTTCCAGCTGAAATACGTCGACGATAAGCAATACTCCACCAGATCTGGCACGTATCCTGGTAAACCCTCCGGAATGAGTTTTCGGCGAAGACCCTCTACCGCATCCTTAACTGGTACCCTAGTAAAAAGGGATTCCACATCGAAACTTACCAACATATCCCCAGCATCCAGCTTTACACCTTTTACCGATTCCACAAAATGTGTAGAATCCCTGACATACGATTCCGTGTTACCTGTGAAGGGGGACAGAATCTTTGCAAGATGTTTAGCCAGCTGGTATGTTGGGGAGTTGATGGCGCTGACGATAGGGCGAAGGGGGACGTCTGGTTTGTGAATCTTCGGTAGTCCGTAGATTCTTGGTGGTACCGGCGCCTGCACAAACAAACCTTTCTGCTGGAATTCCTGTGGATTTTATCAGTTCCTTCATTTTTCTAACGATTTTGTCTGTGGGGTCCCTCTTGATCTTCCTGTAGGTGGCTGGGTCCAGTAAGTTCATCATTTTGTCGTCGTATTCTTTCCTGTCCATAACAACGGTGGCATTCCCCTTGTCTGCTGGTAACACGACGATTTCTGATTTTTCTTTTATAGATCGGAGTGCCTTCTTTTCACCAATCGTCAAGTTGGATTTTGGTGGTTTTGCTGACTTCAATACTCTCGCAACTTCTTGTCGGATCTCTTCGGCTTTCAGTGCAGGCATCCCTCGAACAGCTGCTTCCACTTCGCAGATGATTTCCTCCTTTGGGACCTTCTTCGGGGCGATTGAGTAGTTCAATCCTTTGGCGAGCACAGTGGTTTCGTCTTTCGTTAGTGGGACATTCGATCTGTTAATGACGATTGTTTCTACTGGTAAACTATTACCTTTCTTCTTTTGCGACCGGCGTTCCAGAGATTCAAACTTCTTGATGTGTGTGTCACGGGTCTTCTGAAATTCGCGATTAGCCTTCTCCATTGTTAGTCTGTCCACTTTGTCCCAGTCTTCTCCGGATATACAATTGGAAAGTGAGAGGTGGAGTCGTAGTAACTTCTCACTTATTTTTTGTAGATCATTGAAGGTCTTGTGGATTCTTTCTCGTAGCAGTGCTTGTTCTGTCCTAATCAAAATTCTACGTGCTGCAGCGGAGTCGATGTGGTGCTTCAACTTCAAGAAGGTTGGCGTTACTTTCTTCTCTCTGCATCTTCGTAGAAAGGCCAAACTGCTCAACAGCTTGCGTTGTCTAATTCGTGAGTTATCCAAATCCTTGATTTATTTGTTGATATCCTCCCCATAAAGGTTAATAATATAAGTACGAAGGCTTTCACGGCCGGTGTGAATGTTTTGCAGTTTCTGTTTCCATGGTAATTTTTTTCATGGAGTGCTGTGAATTGAGGTGGTCTAGAAATTCCTAGTGTTGCTCTTTTCCATGTTTCCAGATCACGAAAGTGCCATCGACGTCACGGAGTCATAGCTTTGGCTTCCACGGACTCTTCTTTAACGCTTCCTCTTCAAACATATCCATGTAAAAAATTGGCGATCACAAAGGTGATCCTATGGCTGTCCCCTGGCATTGCTCGTAGAACTCTCTTTTCCATCTAAAATATGTCGACCATAGGCAGTACTCCACTAGTCCTGGGACATACTTTGGCAAACCCTCCGGGATGACTTTCTGGCGAAGACCATCCACGGCATATTTGACTGGTACTCTGGTGAATAAAGATTCCACGTCGAAACTTATCAGGATATCCTGAGGGTTTAGTTTGAAACTCCTGACTTACTCAGAAACTACTAGAAATATCAAAATTGTTTGAAATGCTCCGAGAATCTTTCAAAATACTGACTGTAAGTAAAGTATTCCGAAAGTCCTTGTAAATCTAGATCAATTTTCAATAATTAAGTAACGGTTGGAAATCTTGTAAATTCTCCAAAAATTCTTGAAATTATTCCGAAAATCGCTTATAAATCAACTCAACAAATCCTCATAAATCCAGATTCATTTATAATAATTTCCAGAAACCCTTGCAAACGTTCAAAATCTTGGAAAATACTTGAAAATTCCTTAAACTTCTAGGAAAAGTACTGACATATACTGTAAATCTTCTAGAAATAGTTGGAAATACTTTACGAGTCTTCATAGGTCCATGTCCACAGCGTAAAAATCGAACAATAATCACTCATCATTTTCTAAACCTATTACTATCTTCATTACTTATTTATCTCATCGTTTATGCATTAAAATATTCATGTTATTTACAATGTTAAAATGATTAATGAATACCTCGCCTTCGTGAAAATACGCGTTAAAATTTCTCTCTATCTACATTTTATAATGAAAAAAATCAAGTTTTGAATCAACGTTTTGAATGCCTTTATCTTCGACGCTGTTGGGATATACTCTTAAGCTTTTTGTTTACTTTACCTTTACCTGTCAGACCTCCAAGTGAAATATTAATTTAATCTCGGAGGAGCACGCATCCGAAGCCATATCTAAATAGATAATCAGGACAAGAGTAAAATAAAGTTAACATAAAGTCGTCTTAGGTTGACGTTCGCGCCCACCTTAACCCGAAACGAGTCGATTGTAACAAATTGATATTCTTAATATTTAATCGTTTGGACACCCCCGGGCGTTAACTCCCTTTCGGTGCCACGAAATAAAATACAATTAATTTAAACCACCCGGTTTTAGTTTGAATGCCCATTGTAAAGCAGCAGGTGTTAAATTTAATTCTGTTAAGCTTCTCGGTTCTTTTTTAATTTCATTTGTTTCTTTTTTGAAAAGAAGAACAACTCTGGAATGATTTTTGTATAATTCCTTTTTTAAATTCTCCCGGATTTCAGCTAATTGGCTCCCCGTCCGAAAACAATGGTCCTTATCGCAGCCCTAGATCAAATATAATTACCCCTCCTGTCTTCGGCGGACTCTTTTCAACGCGTCGAACGTTCTTCGTCTGGTTCGGTGTTATTGGTTGGAGTCCCGCGGACCGGCCGCTCATTAGTGTTAACCTCGTGGTGGACACAAAAGGCATCTTGGCCATTTTTGGCATGAGAACGAGCGCCGTGGTATGGACGTATGGCCCAAATGGCGACATCATTAGCTGAACGTGCATGTATCGGGACGTCGCGGGACTCCTATAGCAGCAGGAATGCCCGGAACTTTTTTTCCGGGTCATCTTTTTATAGAAGCACGGTGGCAAATTATTTTTCTAAATAAACATCGTAAAAATGACCGTTTCGGCAATTCATTATTCCAATTAAAACGGCTAAAAATTTCTTATTTCTTTTACGGTATTTTAATGAGAATCATATTTATTTGCGGCAATAAAATTTAATAAATTATGTTTTTGCATGGATATAATTAGGAAATGTTTAGTAATTCAAATGATATTCTTAGGAATGTAGTTCTTTAACTATCTCATTTGTATGTCGTTTTAATAAAGCTATTTGTTTATGTCAAATCACCAACTTCATTTTAGTAAGTACTTACAAAACCTTATAGAAAACCTTTTAACCCAAATTAATATTTAAATAACAAGTCGTTATTGCTTCAACGTTCACCTTTCTCTCTATTTACCTTTTAACCTCTCCAATTAATCATACTGAATTGAATTAAATTTTAAACCAAAAAAGGGAACGTAAAGAAACACAGTCCACGCCTATTTAGATTGCTTCTGAACCAAATTGGGAACAGATTCCTTGTTAGGGTTTGCTTATATTGGTGTTATCTCGATTGGCGATCGGAATTAAAAGAGCAAAATCGCCGAAGAGGTCGCATGTTATTATGAAACCCAATATACCTACTTTGTAAAATAACACCTCCACCAACCAACCAACCAACCACATTATATGGGTACGAAACGTTGGAACCTTCTTCGTTTTGCTTTGTTCTTAAGTTAGGAGCGCAGCCACCGTACCCGAAGCCGGAGGCAGGTCCCAACGGCTCACGTAAATGTGTTTTATGGCCGCCAGGCAGTAAATAGGTTTCTTTCCGTGAGGCAGTGTTTACGACCTCCGCGTTTGTTTCTTCCACATTCTTTCTTCTTTCGCCGCACTTTTCGCCCGCTGCTGTACCGGGGCATAAACCCAGCGTAAGGTAAAAACACAGGAACGGAGAAGTTTACGGTCGCGCCCATTCTCTCTCTTCTCAGCGTTAGTTCCGCAAAGAAGTAGAATCCACCGTAATCTTTGTTATAAAAGGGGACAACGCGACTTAATAGACCGAGTAACCAACCTGTGATTACCAAGACAGTTATAATAAAACAATGACAACTTTTTAGTTTCTGGGTGGTCCAAATAGCTAGTTTAATTTTTAACCACAACCTTCATGTATTTATCTTAAGTTTATACTTCAAACATATAATTTGTTACACCACATCATCCTAAAGAAGACATTTTAAGCTTTAATTTAAGATATAAATCACATTATTAATCCTAAAATTGAAGCAGATATCATTGTTTGAAATTAATTTAGTGTAGATACCAACAAAAAATAAAAAGAAAACACAAGATCTTTCGAGATTTCTTTACGGTCGATTATCCTTTAAGTTTTTTAACATTCTCGTTACCTGAGACATCTGTAATCAAGGTCCATCAAGCAAAGTACTGATTATTTCCTATTACCATATTTAATGCCCGTTTGATAACATGGCGTTCAAATCGTTTTTACCAAATCAGACAATGTACTGATTACCCACATGTGGACCCGGTAATTATGATTATCCCCAACTCTTTCTTCTGCCTTCTTCCATCCTACACACTTTCTTGTTTCAATGCGGCGAAGACCTTCTTTACAAATCCTATAGACGAGTCCGGTTCTGTTTGAACGTCAAGAACCTTTTAAGAACTTAAAGATAACCACCACCAGATGACGCAAATTTATATCTTAATGCAAACTTTATCTTAAACGCTTCATATCTTTTCTACATTTTATATATATTTACGCTTCATACCTTTTATCTTAATATATTTTTATTCTTTCTTTTAGCATGTAATTGCAACGGTTTTTCCCATCGCTGTTACTTCGATAAAGACCTCTATGAAAGAACTGGACACGGTGGTCACTGTTTGGATTGCGTAGCGAATCGGGATGGTCCAAACTGTGAACGTTGCCGTGAAAATTACTACCAACGCGAAGACAGTTATTGCGTGGCGTGCAATTGCGATCCGATTGGTTCCAGAAGCCTTCAATGTAACACCGAAGGAAAATGCCAATGTAAACAAGGCGTTACCGGCGATAAATGCGATCGTTGCGATGTGAATCATTACGATTTTGGAACGCACGGATGTAGAACTTGCGGTTGTTCCGAAGCTGGATCTTACAATAACACCGCGAGTTGCGATACAAGAACTGGTACTTGCGCCTGTAAGGAAAATGTCGAAGGAAAAAGATGTAGAGAATGCAAACCGGGTTTCTTTAATTTGGACATTGAAAATGAATTTGGATGCACTCCATGTTTTTGTAATGGACATTCCTCTGAATGTACAAACGCTCACGGTTATTCTAAATTTCAAATGGAATCAACTTTTGCTAAGAATAGCGAAAGGTGGACCGCTGAAGATGAGAATAAAAGAAGCACTGCAGTGCAATTTAATGCTTTGAGTCAAAATTTAGGTGTAACAGCGTCTGGTTACGATGCGATTTACTTTTTGGCACCGGATAGATTTTTGGGGGACCAAAGAGCTTCTTACAATCAACTTTTAAAGTTTTCATTAAGAATTGGCGAAAACAACCCGATTCCTAAAGCGGCTGATATCACGTTAGAAGGTTCTGGATCTTATATAAGAAGCGCTATTTTCGCGCAAAGAAATCCTATGCCATCTGTTCAAACTCAAGAATATAAATTCCGTTTACATCAAGATCCCAAATTTGGTTGGCAACCGAAACATTCCGCGAGAGCTTTCGTTTCCATCCTAACAAATTTAACCGCGATTAAAATTCGTGGGACATACACACCCGGAGGAGTTGGATTTTTAGACAATTTCCGTTTGGAGACTGCGTCGAGAGGAGTTGCTGGAAAACCAGCGAATTGGGTTGAACAATGCGAATGTCCCGAAGGATATGTGGGCCAGTTTTGCGAATCTTGCGCTCCCGGATACAGACATTCCCCGTCTTTAGGAGGACCTTTCATGCCGTGTATTCCGTGTGATTGCAATAAACACGCCGATATTTGCGATTCGGAAACTGGAAAATGTATTTGTCAAGATAAAACTGCCGGGGATAACTGCGAAATTTGCGCTAAAGGATATTATGGGAATGCTCTTGGAGGTAATTATATAATTAAGTTTATTGCTACAAAATCAGCATTACATTCCACAAACAATTAAATTTTAACAATACTACAATTACATATATCACATTACAATACAATACATTTTATTTCCTATCCCACCCCTCCCCATCTCCTCCCCGCATCACCCTACGCTGCCTTGTCGCCACCACCTCCCTCATCCATTCTCTTCCCTCTGCCCTCTCCCCCAGCACCTGCTTCCAGCCGATCACCTCCTCTCTTAGCTCGTCACACTCCCTCAGTAGGTGCTCCAACGACTCCCACTCCCCCCCACATAGCCTACAACCCCTCTCATCATCTCTCATCCAATACCTATTCGCTCTCTCCTCATTGCCGCATCTGAATCTTGCCACCATCCTCTTCCCCTCCTCATCTCCCTCCACCGACAGGTACTTCGGCAATCCCTCCGTTATTATTTCCTCGTACTTAGGGTTGTACCTGCTCTCCCTTATCTGCCCCCTTCTTTCTTGCCTCTGTACATCTCTATCCCTGCTCTCCAGCTCTTTCCGCATCTCAATCCCTTCCCTCCTTCTATCATCTACCGCTTTCACTGAGTACCCCACCCTTCTGAAATATTCCTCCCTTCCTCGTTGCCCGTAACCCCCTTTCCTTGCCTTAATCTCTTTCCAGCACTCCCCCAAAATTTTACATTGAGACCTCCCTTCAACCCTCTCCTCAAAACGTACCGCCCTTTTACCCGCCTCCACTCTTAACTTATCAACTTTCACCTCTTCTCTGACTATGTACTCTGGCGTCTCTTTTGCCAACCCCAAAACCCATCTCCAATACCTAGCCTGTACGCCTTCCAACAGCCCTTGCTCTTTCCACCCCCAAAGCTCCGCCCCGTACATCATAACACTTCTAATCAAGCACTCGAATATCATCTTCCTTTTTCCTATATCCCTTCCAAATAATCTCTCTCCCCACCCCCAGACCTGCCCCATCACCTTTTTCGCCTTCTTGGCCATTGCCCTCACATGCGCGCCTCCTCTATCTCCTTCCCTTCCCACCTCCAATCTTCGCTCTTCCTTCTACCCCCTTTACAGAACTTCATAACCAGAGGTAATTATGAATTTGATTTAATTGAGTTTGATTGATTTTGGTTGGTTTAGGTACCCGAGATGATTGTAAACCTTGCGGTTGTCCCAATGGAGGTGCTTGCATTCAACTTGACGAAGAATTGATTATGTGTATTGAATGTCCTTTGGGATATACTGGGCACCGTTGTGAGTCTTGTGCTGATGGTTACTTTGGGGATCCTTTAGGCAAATATGGACCTCCTAGCGAATGCCAGCAATGCGATTGCAACTTTAACATCGACTTAAACGCAATTGGAAATTGTAATACAACAACTGGAGAATGTCTTAAGTGTGTTCATAACACAGGGGGACCTAGATGCGATAAATGTTTATCGGGTACAATTAATTTTTTTTTAATTTACAAAATTTTATATTAAATTTCTTTTAGGATTCTTTGGTGATGCTTTAAAGTTACCTAAAGGTGATTGCCAGCAATGTGAATGTTACGCACTCGCAACGTTGGAAGGACCAGATGGAATTCCAATTTGCGATCAATTCAGTGGAACTTGTAGTTGCAAAAATCATGTTCAAGGAAGAAATTGCGATCGTTGCGAAATCGGTTATTTCAACATTAATAGTGGGGAAGGTTGTGAATCTTGTAACTGCGACCCTGTCGGTTCAATAAACAACACCTGCAACCTCTACAATGGTCAATGTAACTGCAAACCGGGAATAACAGGATTAAGATGCAATCAATGCGAAATATACAAATACGGATTTTCATCCGAAGGCTGCAAATCATGCGATTGCGACCCTATTGGATCTAAAGAGCCGCAATGTAACCCACTTGGCCAATGTCCTTGTTTCGATAACGTTGAAGGAAAAAGATGCGATCGATGTAAAGAAAATAAACACGATCGTCAAAGAGGTTGCATTGATTGCCCTGACTGCTACAACCTCGTTCGAGATGAAGCTCACGCTCATCAAAAGAAGATAGAACATCTTAGAACGATTATCGACGACATCGAAGGAAGCCCAACCGTTGTTTTTGATGACCAATTCGAAAAGAAACTAAAAGAATTAAAAGCTGAAGTCGAAAGATACTACCAACTAGCTAAAGATGGCACAGGGGGTGACGGAGATAAAACAATTTCCGAAAAACTTAACGATATCAGAGAGAGACAAAAAGAAATATCAAGGGTTTTATCCCAAATCGATGAAAGCATCTACTTAGCTAAAGACAAAGGATTAAAAGCCTTAGAAAACGTAACCGAAACCGACAACATCCTCAAATTAGCCGGGGACGATTTACAAAACGCTTTCCAAATTTTAGACATCAAAGGTAAAGCGGCGTTGGAAGACGCCCAACAACGTGCTAAAGAATACGGGGAAACATCGGATTTAATGACATTAATCTCGCAGGAAGCTCGTAATATTGCAGATCAATTAGAATTCGAAGCCAACGATATCACCAATCAAGCTTTAGACGCCGACAAACAATCGACGGAAGCGTACGATTTAGCGTCCCAATTATCGTCCCAACGTAACAACATCAGCGAGCAACTTACCAATTTAAAGAACGACATTTCAAGAACCGAAGAGAAACTAAAACGGACTCAAAACGCAACTTTGGACGCCCACAAAAGTGCCCAAGAAGCCAAAGATAAAGCGTTAGCTTTATTGGCGGAAGTTACCAATTTGGACGTCCCCAATGAGGATATATATAAATTGAAAAATCGATCCGAGGAAGCTCGAAAACTCGCTGCTCAACTCCTAAAAGAAAGCGATGATTTAATCGCGCAAAATGAAGACTTGCTTAAAGAAATCGCCGAACAAATTCTTAATGTTGATGATCTTATTGAGAAAGGAATCCAACAAAATGATGATATTAATCAAATAATGAATGATATTAATATGTTGGAAGCTCAAGCTGATAAAGCGGTTGAATTAGGAGATAATACTTTAAATAGAGCTAATGCTACATATGAATCATTGAAACGTAAGTAAATTCAATTATAATGTTAAATTATTGTGATATATTTTTTTGTTATAGATTTTGATCAACAAGTTCGTAAAAGTAAAGCTGATGCAGATCAACAACTTGCTCTTATACCAAAAATTCGTCAATTAATTACAGAAACAATTAACGAAACAGCACAAACTCAAAGTGATTTAATTAATGCTAAACTTGATGCGGAAGCAGCATTAAATCGAGTTGAATCTGCGAGTGACGAGTCGACGAGTGCAGTTAAAAATATGGAAGATATAAAAACGGAAGTGGATCAAAGATTTAAAAACGCAACTCATTTCCAAACAGAAGCCGAATTAATGGAAAATAGAGTAGCTATGGTAAAATCGGAATTCGATGAATTAGCGAAACAAAGTGGTAAAAATGGAACGTTACTTAACGAGGTTAAAGAGAAAGTAGGGCGAGCCGGAAAAGATACCGCGGATGCCAGTAAAAAGGTTAATGATATTTTGAAAGATGTTCAAGGAATAATGAAAGAATTGGACAATCTTCCGTCTTTCGACGACGCCGAATTAGATCGGTTGGAGGAACAATTACGTTTGGCGGAACAGAAATTCCAAGATGCTAATCTTGAAGCTATTTTAGAGAAGCTTCAACGCGAACAAACCGAACAAGATTCTCTCGTCGAAGCTTACACGTTAGAAATTAAAAAGTTAAAGAAAGAAGTCGAAAACGTCGAACAAATTGCTAATACCATTCCTAATGGTTGTTTTAAACAGGTTCATCTAGAACCTTAAAAAGCAAGACAAAAATATTAATGGAGAAAACAGTGTACAAATATTTTTTTTTCTACATACCAAAGAACATTTCATGTGTGTTTCTATGTTAAAACTTGCCATTTATAGATGTTTTATACCTTAGTATGCATTAGTGTTTTTTTATTTTATCTTGATTAAGATGTATAATTCCTTTTATTTGTAATTTTAGAGTAATTGAATAAATGATTTTTAAACGTTAATTTGATTTTGTTTGCTTCGACCAAAGATGGCTCCTTGACTGGTGCATGTATAAAATATGACTACCTATAGAAATCTTAATACTGCTGCAAGAAAGTTAGATACTTCTGACAGAAGAGTAGATATTGATAATGGAGGGCTAAATTGCACAAAATATTGACGAAACTGGGACGTACTAATGTTGTAATATTGTCCATCCCTTATATAAATCCGAAGTTTAATGTCAATGAACTTATTTTTGAGATGAATTGTGACCTTTTTAAGTACTGTGTTAGATATCAGAGTAAAGGATTATTTTTTTTAGATGTTAATGAGATATTGGGTAATTGCTATTGTAATAAGATTAACATCCACTTGGATATGAAAGCTAAATCTAAGGTTTTTAACGCGTTGTATAAGGTAATTGATACCCATAAATGTTTCTTTTATCCGAACTCCAATGATAACTTAGTTTATATTTCTACGGATGCGATGTGTGCGTCGGCGTGTGTTTGACAATGTGAATGAATTGGAGCCTTCTACCTCTTCTACCTCAATTATTTCCATTTTTCACATCAATGCTCAGGGTTTGCGTCAAAAATTAGGTGAACTTGAGATATTTCTCGAAACTTACAATATTGTCTTTGATTTTGTGTGCATAAGTGAGCATTTTCTCTTTGATTTGGAGTTTCAGCTTGGTGTGTCAGTTGGGGGGTGGATTGCTCTTTCATACTTTGCTAGGACGGATCACATCCATGGTGGAGTGGCGATATTCGCGAAAAGAGACCGGAATTGTAGTTTGTTGGGTGACATAAATGACTTGTCGGTGGAGATGGATTGTGAATTGGCGGCACTGCGTTGCGAGGTCTCTCGTGTTGTGATTGTATGCGTATATAGGTCCCCATCTGGGAATTTTACAACTTTTAAGGACATTATGGAGCGTGTTCTGGGCACTCTTGCGAACCACAAGCATGTTGTGGTCCTGGGTGACTTCAATGTCAGATTTGGTAGCGGAGAGTCAAATGCTATTGAACTGTGTAATATTTTTTCTTCTTTCGCCAGGGGCAAAAACTGTCTTGACAATATATTTGTTAATTTTGCTGAGGACAGGTTCAAAGCTGGGGTGGTCGTGAAAAATATCTCTGATCACCATGGTCAATTTGTCTCTACTGCAGTATCACCTCCAATTGGAATTGACTACAGTTCTGTAATGTACAGGAGGATTACCGTTGAGGGGAATTTGAGATTCTTTGAATCCTTTCAGGGTTATACTTGGGAATTTCTCTGTGATGACAGTTTCAATTTCAAGGATAGATTTGACTATTTCTTTCATAGATTTCTATCAACTTTTTATATGGCGTATCCTCTAACTAGAAAACGTGTTAGAAATTGTGACGGAGGCGTAAAGTGGTTCAATAATACACTGCGTCAGATGAGACTCAGGTGTGATCTCGCTTCCAATCTTTTCAATCGTTATGGAACTGCTAATCTTAAGGAAATGAGGGATAGAGCAAGGTCGGCGTACCGTAATGGCATCGTTGAGGCTAAACGGAAGGCCGCTGTCGGATACATTAACGCATCGAGCAACAAATCGCGGGCCTCTTGGACTTTGATTAATGGGTGCAGGGTCAGTGTGGACAAGCAGAATGTTGCGGATATGGATCCCGATAATCTAAACAGCTTTTTTGTAAATGTCGCTAATAACAATGTTGCTAAACTCGGCCCGTCTATTGGGTCCCCCTTGCATCTGTGTCGTAGTAACTTTGACAATGTTCCTGTTTTCTCTTTTGTTGAGGTATCAGAGAGTGAAGTTAGAAGTGTTCTACAGTGTTTAAAGACAAACGGAACTAGAGACATATACGGTGTTTCAACGGGGGCTATAAAATGTAACATTAGCCTCATGGTTGCGCCCCTTACCATAATGGTTAACAGCATGATGCGATCACATACTTTCCCGGATCAATTAAAGATAGCTTCCATTGTGCCTATTTTTAAGCATGGGGATAAAAACGATTGTTCGAATTATCGTCCCATTAGCATTCTCCCGATACTGTCCAAAATATTTGAGCGCGTAATCTACAAACAAATAATGGCACACGTGGAATTGTATGATGTGCTTTTCGAGAATCAGTTCGGCTTTCGACCTGGTAGGAGCACCGGGGATGCGATTGTTAATTTTATGAATGTCTGTCACAGTACGTATGAAGATCGGGAGTACTGTGCTGCTCTATTTCTTGATTTGTCTCGTGCTTTTGATAGTGTGTCGCACCGTATTCTTCTCCTGAAGCTGAAGTCTGTTTTTCGCTTTGATTTAAATAGTGTTGCTCTTATCGAATCATACCTGTCCGATAGGTTTCAAGTGGTTAAATGTGGAGACAAAGTATCTGGAAAACTTCCAATCTCGAGGGGTGTCCCTCAGGGATCTATTTTGGGGCCCCTTTTGTTCCTCCTGTACTTTAATGATTTTCCTGGTTACCTGGGAGAGGGTGTAAAGTGTTTGTTGTACGCTGATGATGCCACATTGCTTGTCTCCGGGTTAAACTACGAGGAGGTAATGTCTTCCTCAAACAAACTGTTGACTGCTGCGAACGACTGGTGTGTAGCTAATGAACTATGTTTGAATAAAGACAAAACGGTTCAGACACTTTTCACCCTAAAACGGGACTGTGTGGGTGATTTCCCCCCTGCTAGATTGCTGGGCATAACGGTGAGCTCCAGAGATCTGAAATTTGATGTGCATGTGGCTGAAATTGGTAAAAAGATCTCAAGAAACATTTTTCTACTACGTAGACTAGTGAGCTCGGTATCTGTCGAGGTGGCCAAAACAGCGTATTATGCGCTGATACACTCAATGATTGACTATGGTATTATTGCCTGGGGTGGGAGTCCAGCAAGTAATTATGTGTTTGGTTTACAACGCAGAGCTGTGAGAGTGTTGGCAAAACTTAGTTATAGGGAAGATTGTCGCCTCGCCTTTGAATCCTTGAATATTCTAACGCTTCCATCATTGTTTATTCTGAAATGTTTGCTGTATATTCATAGTAATGATGAACAGTATAAGACGCACGCCGACGTGCACAGTTACTTTACCAGAAACCGTACGAACATGTGCGTAGATTTTTGTCGGTTGAGTGGAACGCAGAAAGGTCATTTGTATACTGGTCAGATTTTGTATAATAAGTTACCGCAATCTATTAGAGCACGACAACACAAGCAATTTAAAACTGTTATGAAGAATTTCCTGATGACGGGTGCGTTCTACTCAGTCGAGGAGTTTTTAAGGAGTGATATTGTCATTGTATGAATGTATTTTTATTGTATTTTCTTCTCGGCTCCTGCGTCTGTATTTTGTTGTATATTCTGTTTAAAATGACGTGTGTAAGCCTTGGGCATAGAGCAGTAATAAAGTTATTATTATTATTATTATTAAATACTTTGTGCAGAAATGTACTTACTCCAGACGACATATATGTACTGCTTGCAAGAAACTATACATATATTGCAGGCATCTGGATAAATATATTGATAGTAGAATCTTAAATATTGGTGTATATTGGGGTGTTCTGTAATTTTTTCTTTGGTTCAATGGTGACAATTACATTACAAATTTATTTAATGTTAAATACTTCTTGCACATAGTAGCGGCATCGGCTTTAGTCGGGTTTAGTAAAAATATTTCAAACATAATATGTTTTGAATTTAAATTTTTGCGCCATCTGTTAATAAATAGCGAAAGTATCGTGCCGATTAATTACCGCGAAATTCAATTTAATTATTTCCAATAAAAGTTTAAATCGATTCGCAGAATTTAAAGTTCTAACAAAGATTACGGGGTTTTTATCTTTTATTATCTAATAAATAATAATGGAAGGTTAATATATTCCTAAAAAGCATTAATTGATAGAAATCGGTAAAATTTCTATAAATACTTGAAAATGTTGGTGTTGTGAACAAGTAGAAACATTTTAATGAATTATTCTTCAAATTGAATAAAATTAATCGTTCCAATAAATCGCTTGCGTAAATATATATATATATATATTCGTTTTCCGTTTAAATCATTGCGTTAGTATCTTCCGAAAAGTCGTTTCGTTTTAGTTACGAACTAAATTTAACTACAATAAAGTGTTTTATCAAAAACAAGTTGAATTCCAAGAATTAAAAGTGAACGTTTTAAGGTATTGAAACAATTAACATTAAAAAAGATTTGTTTCAAGTTTTCTTAGTATAGTTCAAATTTTCACCGTCAGATTACGGTATTATGAGTAAAGTTTATGACAGTCGGCGTGTTAATACTCCGTCTTTGTTTGTCTTTAGTGTCAGCGACGTTTTCCGTCTCCTTTCAAAAATGGTGTTTGCTAAACTCGCGGTGTACTAAATGTAACTTGTAAGGTTTGTCGAGTTCACGTCCTCCTCAAACGGGAACCAACCACTTTCGTTACAAATTACACACAAACCGCAATGTTTTAGGGGCGTTTTAATAAAACGAGTGGAGTTGAGTCGTCAATAAAATGACATCGGGCAACAATATCGAGACCGAGTTTCTGGAGCTGAACAGTAAACAACAATGGGACATAGTTTATCAGGTAAGTCCAACTCTTTATTTACGGTTAAATCTCGTCTTTCCATCATCTTCGTACTCTTAAGATTATCGTTTTAGAGGCTATCGTTCTGTTAGGAGTTCGCACGTGTTGTTGATAGTTTAGGTGCTATTTCTTGGAATTATTGTGTCTTATTGACCGAAAACATGATTTGCTTTTAAAATGGGTTATAAACGTAACTGGTTCGGGGAATATTAACATTATTTTTAAGCTTAAAATAGAGATGTTAACCTTAAAAGGTGATCAAACCTAAACATTTTTTTCTTGTATGCTGGCAATTAACATTTATGAGTTGCCAAAAATGAACATGGTAATGGTTTTTGAGAAGTTGCATGTACCAAGTTTAGAAAACTTTTCTGGGAAGAGTAATTTTTTTCTATAATGACTCATAATTCACTCATGCTGGTAGCTGTATTTAAAATAATCATGGGAAAAATCCTTTATAATATTTAACCTTTCAATTTATCTCATTCCTCAATTTATTTATTGTTATTAGTAAGTTGAAATGTTTCATATATATAAACGATAAGATATCCAAGAATTACAATATTCTTCTCTCAAAAAATAAATATTTAGGAAAAGGAAAACTACCAACTCTAATTTATTAAACTCCATGAAGTGAAGATATAAAGTTGTTTCACCACACCACATAAACAAGAATACAAATTTTAATGAAAATATTTTCATTAAAATATATCATTATATAAACTTTGTTATTTGTTTTATTTAATTACTTTAATTAATATAAGATTTGAATAGATTTAACTTTGTAATTCAAAAATTATTGTATTTGAATGCACAAAACAGCCTGATTTATGGCCAACTAGGTAAGGGTAAATCGTTTTTTAGAGAAAATTTACTGGAGAAAGCAAGCTATATAATTGATTCATTAAATAAGTTAAATTCAAATAAAGAATATCAAAACAGTAATAAAATCTAAAGAAACCATAGTGGAATGTAATTGCTATTACAGAGCACTGGATGGCAACAGCTGAGATAAAAACTTTAAAATTAAAAAATTATGTTATTGCATCTTATAATTGTAGAAAAGTCTTTTCAAGTGGAGGTGTTTTGCTATTAATAAATGAAAAATACTCATCAACTTCAATTAGCTTAGAAAAATATAACATAGGAAGAAATATTGAACTGGGTTCAGTAAAAATCCCACAATTAAAGGTATGTTTATAGCAGTATATCACTCACCAGACGGTTTTATAATGAACAGTTTTTGAAAAAAATGGAAGAGGTCTTACATTTCGTAATGTAAGACCTCTTGTGTCTTGAGACTTCATGTGTTAATGAAAACTTCAAAAGTAAATAAAAGTAGATATAGACCAATATCAATAGTAACAATAATGTCAAAAGTTTTCGAAACTAAATACCACCACGCGGATACCAACAGAAAAAAACAACAATGACAGCACTTCTTACTGTAATTCAAAACATAATAGCTGCTTTTGATGCTACTTGCGCGTAACGTTGCATGTTACACGCAAGTAGCCTTCTGTGATCTTAATAAGGCTTTTGATTCTGTAGACCGTAATATTCTCTTGAAGAAAATAGAAAAATTCGGTATAAAAGAAAGCGGAAAAAACTGATCGTTTCTTATCTTCATGATAGAGGCAGCACCATGTTTATTGGAATCAAACAACATGGGTTCCGTGCTGGGCCCCATTTTATTCTTATTGTATATTAATGACTTGTCACAAAATATACAGGCGAGGACTTTATGTGTATATATGCTGATGACACCTCTTTTATAAATACTTCAAAGGATTTTCAAGACCTGCTTCAAAAAACTAAAAAAACATTAGCTACATCCAACAATTGGTTCAAATCGAATTATTTACACTTAAACACGGAAAAAATTTACCTTAAAAAACCGTTTATACGAAAAAACATAAGAGGTAAAAAATCGAACGACAAGATTTTTAGGTGTAACATTATCTGAAACCCTTTCTTGGGGTGACCACGTAATAGAATTAAAAAAGAAATTAGCGAGTTCACTGTATTGCCTGCGAGTGGTATCAAAAATATTGCTTGGCGAAGAACTAAGAAATGTGTATTTTTCCTACCTTCATGGTATGGCAGTATATGGAATACTCACATGGGATGCATCAAGAGAGTCCGAAAAGATTTTTGAAATGCAAAAAAAGGCAATAAAGATTTTGAAGCAGCTAGGAAAGCTGTAGAGGACACTTTAAGAGTATAAACATTTTAACAATATCATCATCTTTTATTCTCGCTTGCCTCCAGCATGTACACGAACAAAAAGAAACATTGGTGAGAAATAAAGACTCTCACAATAATTATGACACGCGTTTTGGTAATAATTTATTACCACCTCTTCACAGAGTGCAGAAATCGCAAAGTACGTTTATATACATTTTAATCAAGTTATATAACGCTTTGCCATTGAGGTTAAGGAAACTGGAGGGAAAAATATTTCAAAGGGAAGTGAAAATTAAATGTGTTGTGATATGTATTTAAGTCTGCCGACAGGAGACTACAACAACACACTGAAGATGCCAGGTGAGATCTTGGCGAAACGTCTGCCCCTTTCCAAGTTGAACCAACAGGAAGAACGGATGAAATCTCGGACCGACCGCAGCAACACAAATGTATTTATATATATTTCTTTTCTTTGACGTATTAAATGTACCATATTTTTATACATTTTAGACATAAAGATTGTTATATTGTAATGTACTAAAAAATAAGAAAATTATATATGGTAAGGCTTTTATGGCATAGATTTTAGGCTATCCATCGACATATTAAATAAACAAGATTAAAGTTTAGTATGTTTCTTTATAACAAAAATTCCTTAAAAAATAATTTCTTAATATTCATTGATTTAGCTTATGCAACTTATTACAAAATTTATTCTAAAATACTCAAATAAAAGTGTTCCTACATATTATTAAATATAATAAAATAAATATTATTCAAAAATATTGTCCCCTTTTGACCATGTATTTGCATGTCACTGTAATAAAAAAGTTAAAGGGTATAAAAAGATGGCAGAGTGACCACAAAAACAGGCTAAAACCGAGACGCATTCATCCCCTAAAAATTTTTAGTCTACCTCTTGTTCCTGAAATATGAAGCTTTGAAGTCGGTGTTTTCACGTTTTACACAAAATACCTCAATATTAATTATATATAAATTCACTTTGGCTTAAACAGATGAATCTGTGTTTAATTCCATGAAACACAAAAAAGCGTTTATACAAAACGATGATCAGGCCAAGTATCAGCTACGGATGTGTGATATGGGTCCTAACTCAAAAGACGGCAAATATAGTGGATACCTTTGAGTGGAGAATTCTGAGAAGAATGCTAGGTGAGATCGGAATTGACGAGAAATAGAGAATGAGGTTTAACCTAGAAATATGTCAGCAATATATAGATTCCCCACTATCTTAGGCTCCAACGATTGCAATGGGATGGGCACATGGTGAGGATTGACGATGACAGGATCCCAAAAATAACCCTTGTGTATTAGTTTGAATCATATTGTTGTGTTACAAGTGTTAATGTTAATTCACTATGATTAGATCAACGAAACAGAAGAAGGGACTGTAATGGTTTTGCTGTAATGCCAAAATAGTATTAAAAAATCCTGCCAAACTTTCACCACCATACTTTAATCATATCCAGGTATCTTCATTTATTGTAGTATCTTGCTAATGATTAGCACTAGCTCTAATTGTCTATTTATTGTTGTATCCGCTGTATTTTTCAGTTTGTTTTAATGCTTTGAAACGCTTTGTCCATTCTTCTCATTTTGATGCTCTTAACATACGAAAGATTTAAAAAATACGGAAGATTTTCTTCTGTGATCCGTACATGTCATTACATGTTCATTATCTTTAAAGCTGTTTAATCAACGTTTAAAAAGCTTGAAATATGCGCTATTTAAAGAATTCAAATAATTAATTATTAGAAATTAAAATAATTCAACTCCAAACAACACATACATTCCAAATTCCATATTGGTTTAAAATCTAAAACACAGAACAATACCTGATTTATTAGTGAATAAGAATACTAACAGGACTTTAAGACAGAAATGTTATATTAAAATTCAGTAATAAATCTTAAAGTTGCATAAATAATCGAAATTATACTTTGTCTGGTGAGGTACATGAATGCCATTAAATATGCTTTTAACCTTCCCGTCTTGATTCAAAAATAATCTTTGTATATCGAGAAAGTAAAAAATGATAACAATCCATGTCTTAAATGTCAGCCTATAAATTTATATAATTTATTACCTTTTATTTTTAAATAAGAATTTGTGGGTCTATACATCTAATACCTTTGTAGGTTATCTGAAAAATTCTGAAATAAAGATGATAACTTAAATTTGTCTTATAGGTTGTTATATTGTTATGGTATAAAAAATTACGGTTTTGAAACCACTTTTTTTAATAAGAAATGTCATATTCCTAGAAAAAACAACATTTATTCGTAATATTATTTTAATGTTTATTTACGTTTTTCAGTTAATAAGAACGAAATCAACATCGAGCGCTTACAGCACCTCAGAAGCAATAAAACCCCAAAACAAACCGTTAAATCGCTATAGAGACGTAAGCCCCTACGATCATAGTAGGATAGTATTGAATCGCGGTTCAACTGATTACATCAACGCGAATCTCGTTGTGATCCCGAAAGCAAACCGTCGTTACATCCTCACACAAGGGCCGCTTTGTTCGACAGTCAGCCATTTTTGGCTAATGATGTGGGAACAATCGAGTAAAGCGGTCCTGATGCTGAACAAGCTGGTCGAAAAGAAACAGGAAAAATGCTACCAGTATTGGCCCGAAAAAATGGGTTCAGAACACAAGATGGTTCTTGAAGATGTGGGCTTGGCGATTGAATACGTCGAATATCAGGACTATTCCCATTATTTGACGAGGACGTTTACGGTGCACGATCTCGAAAGCGGCGATTCAAGGCAGATCATTCAATTTCATTATACAACATGGCCTGATTTTGGAGTTCCTGGCTCTCCGAAAGTGTTTTTGGAGTTTTTGAAGAAAGTTAGGGCGGCTGGAGTATTAGAACAAGATGTTGGACCGGCTGTTGTACATTGTTCGGCGGGTATCGGCCGATCTGGAACATTTTGTTTAGTTGACTCTTGTCTGGTTCTTGTAAGTAACTTTTAATTTCGTCTTATTAAGGTTATTTGAAACATTTTCTTGAAAAAAGAAAACGAGATTCTTGATTTATGTTAGTTTCTCTTCTTGGGAAATTCTCACTTTCACAATGAAATAATAAACAATGTAGCCCACCTACGTTCTTACTTTCAGATTGAAATGATTGTTGGAAATTAAAGTTATGTTCTTGGTATTAGTAAAAAGTAATCAGGAATAACGGCTGTTACTTTGGCCTTTCAATTTGATTTCAAGGACGTAACGAGACTTGTCACTTAAGATTAATTAAACCTTGTTGAAATGATTAAGTATACGCTGTGTTTATAAAAATTAATGTAAAGTTATAAATTAAAATAATTGGTGTAATGATAGTTTTTATGTTTAGATTGGAAAATTCGGACTAAACTCGGTAGATGTAAAGGACGTCCTCTTAGAAATGCGACAATATCGTATGGGTCTAATTCAAACTGCAGAACAATTAAGGTTTTCCTACCAAGCGATCATCGAAGGCGCAAAAAAATTAACCGACGAATGTCCAGACACGGAGGTAATAACACTGTAAATGTACCTTATCCACGACTATTATAAAAACGTCCTCATTTTGATTCAGAATCCGTTTTATTCTTTTTTTTTTTTCTTTTTAATTTATTTCGTGAATTTTCCAAGTTATTTGTTTCCTATTTAATTAAGAGACAATTATTTGTGTGTTAAATGATGGAGACTGTTTTATAAATTAGAACTGCAACTCAACAAATTCAATAAAACCATCGGAAAACAACGTAGAAGAAAGTAACAGCGCCGACGAAGAAATTGATGATGAACCTCCACCATTACCACCTCCCCGTATGGACAGTTTAAATAATTACGCTGATAGACCTTTGCCGAAAATTCCAGTTAGTACATCTTTAACTGAATTAACTTTCAATGGAGTTGCTGAAGAGGTACAAATTTTCTATTTATCTTAACTAAAAATTTAATATATCACCATATCAGATTTTTACAACTATCTTTGATTGACAAATTACTTTACATGGTAATGTAACGCATTGGGTTACACTATGATGCGACCTCGGCTTAATTATTCAAAAGATCTATAACTTTGCTTGATAAACCCAACGCACAGTGGTCCGAGCGGTAACAAAACCCGATCGAAAATATTATTTTGGTGTTAGCAATTAGCTAGCTTTATGAAACTTGGCATATGATTATAAGACCAAAAGGGTAATGTTGTGTCAAAATTTGAATTAAATTCGTGAACCGGAAGTAGTACTACGCAAGCAGTACTTTATTTAAATTCATACTCATTTTCTTCCATTTTCACATTTTCGCATTCCATTTAAAATAACGAAGTTGTAGTCTACATCCGGTAGACCGGAAGTGGCGGCCATCTTGAAAGTATTTTAGATCGAAAGCTTCGAATGAACAACCCATGTTGTCAAAATTTCAAACCGCTGCGAATAGTGATACCTAAAAAAGTTCTACCGAACCAGTTACATGAGACATCCGGTATAGGTCCTCTATAAAACAATTTCGATAGGAATTTGCGATCACGTAATTACACAAAAAAATGTGAAGTAATATACGTCTAATGTTTTGCACAAAATTTTATAGTAATATTCTTCTTTAAAGTCCTAATTTATACAGGTGTCTCAGCGAGACCGGTCATTAAACGTTTCTGGGGTTCTAGCCAAACAAAAAATTTGAGAATGCAGACTTAAGTATTATCAATTACGTTCTCTTCATCTAAAATGTCTAGAACGTTTGATCACTTTACTATGGCACGTTAACTTTTCAAAATTTGGAAGTACCATAACTTCATTTTTTTAAATAGCACCCCCCGTATTTTATTTTTTAGTCGTCTTCGGTATCTCATTCTACATCTTTTATATCCCATATGTCCCATACCTAATATTAATAGTTTGGGAGATAATTAGGGTTTTTTGAAAAATGCGCACATATATGGATATTTAGCCTAGTGTGCCATGAAAAACAAGCCTTCTCAATGAGTTCTTGTTAAAGACTCACTTGTTTACGTCACTTGATGCATGTGAGCTAATAATTATCTGTTATGTCCCTTAATATTAGTACTGAAACGAGTTAAAATCGATAACAATAACGAAAGTAATATTTACACAAATCAAGAAATTCTTAATTTATTTTTTTTGCATGAAAAGCGCGACAAAGTTCGTAGTATGATTCCCAGATCTTCTTTGGCAGCTCGAATTGAGGTGTTGGGACTGGGCTCGAAATAAGCCAAGGTATTCACCTCTTCCGTTGCATTATCTACTACATTTTTTGGTCAGTTTAACACGTGATTAATTCGTCCAAAATGCAAAAAATTTGCTTCTATTCCTCTAAATTTACCTTTTGTCATCGGAGATAAATGTGGATAATTTTCATTAAACATTCTGCAAGTTCTACTAAGAACTTTGTCGCACTTTTCGTGCACAAAAAATAAATTATGGATTTCTTCATTTGTATAAACATTATTTACGTTATTAATATCCATTTTAACTGGTTTTAGACTCACAAGCATCAAACAACCTAAATTAGACTTTGACGTTTATCAATAAGTCATTAAACATTTGTTTTCCATGGCACACTAGGTTAATATCCATATGATATGTGAGCATTTTTCAAAAAACCCTAATTATTTCTCAAACTATTAATGTTAGGCATAGGACATATGGAATATAAAAGATGTAAAATGAGACGCCGAAGACGACTAAGTAATAAAATATGGGGGGTGCCATTTAAAAAAATGAAGTTATGGTGCTTCCAAATTTCGAAAAGTTAACGTATCATAATAAAGTGATCAAACGATCTAGGCAGCCGTTCTCGGCACCAAAACATACTCCACCATGTTGTTTAAGCGTATTCTGAATCCTAAATTGATATCTCAAAAATTGAGTGTTCTATGATTTTTTGATCAAATGTCCGCTGGAGCAAATTTTTCTAGAAAAATTCGAATAACTCGAGAATTGCTGGTTCAAATTGCAAAAAGTAAAGTTATTTATAAACCTTCAAAACAGACAAATCCAAATATGTAAAAATATACAGGATGTTCCATTTAAAAAAATCAAGTAGGTGGCAACTTCCGGTATAACCGGAAGTGCTAGAAATCTGAAAATATTTTAGATGAAGAGAACGTAATTGATAATACTTAAGTCTGCATTCTCAAATTTTTTGTTTGGCCAGAACCCCAGAAACGTCTAATGACCGGTCTCGCTGAGACACCCTGTATAAGTATTTATTGACGTCAATAGAAATGGTTGTAATTTTTTTCAACAAACATGTTTTGAAATTTGGAAAGTCGTAAAATGAAGACCTTTCTGTACTTTATAAGAAACCAACGACACAATATTTTCAAGTAGTGATATACCATCTTTTTTATTTTCTAAAGTTGTGTCATTTTCTAAAAAATTTCCTTATACAAAATAAGGTAATTGTAATAGCAATTTATTTCGCGCAGTAGCTATTATAAAACATCAAAGACTTCATAAACTTCACTAAGAGACTATTAATAGTTAAAATATATGCAACATTTAAAAAAACAACACTATAAAACTTTTTTTTTTAATTGATTTTCGATCGGGTTTTGAGTGTGTTCGGACCACTGTGCGACGCCGCTCTCGGCCGAGGTGTTACAATATGATGACCAGTTTTAGGTTGGTATAATGTTATTCATTGAGTCTCGGCTGCAAGCGATTAATAAATGTGCAATTAAGATCATGTAAACCAGTTTTAGCTTGATATAATGTAAATCACTGATTTAGTTAAAACAGCTACAATTTCACCTGATTATTTATTTCTAAAGCTTTTAACCTTTTGGCGAGTACCATACCTACGACGCTGTCACTATTTCGCCTATCTCATTTTAACTATTTACTATCGCATTCCTTCATTTGGGCAACTGACCTAACCAATTATTTATTTTTAGATTATTTAACTTCTTTTTAATATTATTTATATATGTGTGTATATATACGACTTTAATTATATATAAACGATTCATCTCATTTATGATTAGCACCCTATTTTTAACCCACACTCAAGGTCCACTTACGGAGCCACTCTCGCGATTTAGCTGTTTTAAATAACCTTTTGCGCATGTGTTAATGTTAACCTTTCATTCCCAAAGAATTCGTATAAAATTCTGTCTCCAACAGCAGTTTATTGATGCTGAAAAAACGAATTTGTTGATACAAATTCGAAATATATAAATCATCCTAATCCGACATGGTGATAATTCAATAAATTAGAATTATTATATAATTTAATATTGATCGTTTTTGTGTTTTATTAGATGGAAACTCCCCCAAATAGGCCATTACCAGTTGTGCCTCCTTCGGAAGGTGATGAAGCTGAAATAGAGGAATATAGCAGCCCAGATGAACTAGAAGAGGAAAGTCGAACGGAAAGTCCTGTTTCGAATAAATCCGAACCTACGCCGAATTGGAAAACGTAAATTTATTTAAAATTAATTATAATCAAAATTATATGTATATATATTTTTTGTAGAACGTCGCCTGATGCGGAGTTGAGGCATCGTAAACGAAAGGAAAGAAAGGAGCAACTAGCGGCGCAGGTTCGCGATATGAAGAGACGTCAACAATCGTTGGAGAAGTGGACCAAGCTGAAGAGGTCTCTGTTTAAACCATTAGTTCTGACCGGAAGTATCGTATTAGGCGGCGGAATCGTCGCCTATCTCTACATCAAATATTCATCTTAAAAAACTAGTAGTATTCTTTCTCTCATTCTCATTTAAGTTTCTCCCATCAGCCCCTCTCTTTCCTCCCAATTACTACTTCAATATTATTACTACTATTTACTATTATTTCTTATTTGCGATTATTTAAAAAATTAAATTGAAGAAGTGAGCAACTTAAAAAAACCAACCCACACATAACTATTTGCTACAATACTATAATACGATTAATATTATTATTACCGCATTCTTACAGGAAGAAAAATATGTTCTTTGTTACAACGTAACCGTGTGTGTGTATATATATTATATACATATATATATAGATATATATATATATTTAAACGTATATATATTGTATTATTAGGTTTTTTGAGCACTGTGTTTTCGGTAGCACTGACTATAGAATTTATTTTTTTGTTTTTTTGGAAATCTTAAATATTTTTTAAAAAACTTGAGAATTGGTGCAATCAAAAATGAAATAACATGAAATTGAACGAGTCGTTATGGTTAAAATAATTTAAAAAATGGTTACAGGAGAGCTACTTAATCTGCCAAACGAAAAAAAAAAAGTAAAATTATATTGAAATAAAGTAAAATATGGAAAATTTCTCCTCATGTTTAGGTTACATCCTATGAGCCGTACGAATAAATTTTCTAAAATAAATAAAAGGAAAAAGGAAGGGAAAGGAATACGATTTTGCTATAATAGGAATTAATATGAATCGAGTGATAGGAATGGGTTGACAGTTACTTGGAATTATTAAAGGTGCGTAATGTTCAGCAAAAACAAGACTGAAATATGCCGTTGATAGGCGAACACTCCTAAAAATGTTGGTCCTGTTCTTTTTTTTTGTGTTTTTTATTACCATTTTTTTTTTTTATTTTCATTTCATTATAGAAGTATTTATAATCAAGTTTTTTTATATTTTGTATTAATAATATACTTGAAAGGGGTCAATAATACTACACCATTAATCAATTAGGTTCAATTAAGAAAATTTAAACGATAATCTAAACATTTGTTAATCTAGCCCACATTATTTATAAACGATCTTTAATTTATTATGCTGACGTAAGTGTCCTTGAAATTAAATAAATAAAATAGTTTTTAAAATAATCTATACATTTTGTTTTCTATCAAAATTGTTAACTCAAGGTGTTTAGATAGTTTATAAATTAATGAATTTTAATAATTAATGTTTAGATTTTTGTTTCTTTTTGTCTTTGATGCTATTAAAATTCAAAATCAGTTATGTGTAATAACAAAAGATCAATTTATACTCATCTCTCTATACACGGGTTAATTTCTTCAAATAACAATGAATAACTAACTTCATATTTTTCAACCCTTAACACACTTAGAAACTCTTTAAACAGACTGTTTAGTTACAAGTTTTTGGGTGGTCACATTCGATAACTTTCACAGTATTCGAGAATTACTTTGATTTCGGTAGTCTTTGTCACAGCTCTTGGATAACATATAAACTCAAAATAACTAAAACTCTTATGGGAACTTTATGCAAAGTGATTCATATAAGTTTACGTGTTTTTAATTTACTGACGCCGTCAGTGCCATATAAAAAGGTGGATTACATTTGCACACTATTTTTGTCGTCGTCAAATGTACTTAAAAACGATGAGCAAATAGGAAAATTACCATGATTTTAAACATATTTAATAAGATGGGATATATTATTAGATAATAATAATAACGAAATTATATAAAGATCGCGGGAAACAGTCATGAGATAGATTTATCATTTTCATGTATCTTTGGAGAAACATAAATAGTATTATCTGTTCAATAACAGTTTGTCTATTTCTTGTTTTTTCAGTTTCTTATCCCAAATGTTTACAAAAATTATGATGAATTCCATCGTTTCCTTCGCCTTCCTATTGGGCGTTACAGTACATTCTAATCATTACTCTACATTCATCTTTATTACATGGTCTGCCCCAATGCAACCTTTAATACCGGTAGTTCTCTTAGTTCTCAGTATATTTCATAATTAACCTTATTTTATATATCCCGTTTTGTTGTACTGATTCCAATACATGTTTCAACACTTTTCTTTGGAAGGCTGCCCCATTGCATTTATAGATTGTCAAGATATATTTTGTGTCTTTATTAACATCATTCTTTGCTTCCCTGAATATTATCGTTTAATATTTTCAATACATTCATCAACACAAAAAGTAATTTTTGGTATTATCTAAAAGTGCAGAGAGATTTTTCACAGTGATAACCCGTTCTTATTGATGTTTAACCCCGTGTATTTATTTGGTGTTGTTATCATTAAATTGATTTTGGATTTTAGTAATAACATATAAACATATCTTTTAAAACTTAATTTTGATATCATGAATCACACAAAATTATAAAGACAAAATAAATTTGATTATTATTTTTTAACACATTGAAGAAAAACGCAATAAATTAAAAAAAACTTGTGTGCGTGTGTGGATAAATAGTATGAAAATAATAATCCCTTCGTCTATTTTATATACTTAAATATTCACTGAAAAGTAGGATTTGTAAGCGTTAGAAAAAGTATATAAGCGCAGTAATCTTGATTACTGTCTCAAAATAAAATATTACAAGAGGGGTAAAGCACAAAAATTTTCTACTACATTTTTATACAACAAGAATATAATGAATGAATCAATGAGATGTGTTTTTCTTTGTGGTTTTATTTTATTTCGTGAAAAAAATGTGAATACAGACTAATAAGAATAACAGACTAATAAGAATGACATACTAATAAGCATTCCTCGACGTTATTTATTAATATACGAAAAAAAAAAAAAGAAAAAACTATATAAGTGCCTACGGTACGGTTTCTTATTGATTCCCAAGGAAAAAAATAAAATAAAATAAAAATAAAAAGTGGTTTAGTAGAATTACGGATGACAATATGCGTTTACGACGTTTCTATTTTTTTAAAAACGCTTTATGTCTTTTTTTTAAGTTTACTATTTACCTTTACACTTAAAAATGAAAGAAAGCAAAAAAAGTTAAAGTTCGACAATCGGTTTATAGTTGTTAATCTATTAATATTACATATATATAATTTTACTATACCTATATAGTACTACGTATGTGGCTATTATTTGTGATTATTGCTGAAAATATAGACATTTTGAAAAACAACCACGGAACTTTAATGTATTTAAGAGGTTTTCATTTTATTTACACAATCTTTTAGTTTAACTAAACTTTGTATCCAGATTACGATTCGTAAATCTTTATAATTTTTATTCTTTTATGTTGATATAAAATCTTGCACCCCACACCCCGCTATATATCGGTTGGTATATTTGAGTTTTTGTATTACAGGCCTAAAACTGCACTGCCCGACTGACATTTGAATTTTTTTTGGAGGAGCTTGGACAATGAAAGTTTTAGATTAGTCGAGGATAAATTCTGCGGTCTCACGTTCTAGACTAGTCAAAATTTCCACAATAGTAAACTTGAGTCGAAAACACCACACAGCATTGTTAAACTAAAATAATTTAAAACCTAACCAACCTGTATATAAAAAGTTATTGTATTAATCAAGTTTTACAGTCAAACTCGATGGTATGTCATTTGCGCAATTAAACGAATTACCTTATTCCATCTTGCCTATAAATATATATATTTAATATCTATATCATTAAAAAACATCATCATCATTATCAACATCTGCGGCCTATATTCAAAAAACCGACACTTACGCACAATCACCGTTAAAAACCTCACTTTTTTATACCGTTTACGTTGACTGTGATCTTTGGACGTATTTGTAACTTTTTATACGTGTCTATGGAGGAATTTAACAAAGAAAATGTACTGTTTTACATAGTTATGTCTTATTTCTTTCAAACTATTATTTTTATTTATTTACTTTTTTTTTTATTTCGGTGACTCCAACACTGTCCATCATTCTTAACTCCAAGCTTAACATTTTATTACTTAAATAGTAAGTAACAATAATATTTATTAAATTATAAGTAAGTATATATATTTTTTATTAATTTACAGTGTCATTATTTATTATCATATTTTTCTTATTTTATGTATTAAATTAAGAAAATTAGTTTTGCAGTATTGCCTCAAGCCCTCAGATACTCCCAATTTACATAAATTCTCAATATTACCAGCGTATGTATACATATATGACGAAGTATAGAAAAAGACGAAAACAACTTTTTTGTTTTAACAAAGAAAATAATATTACTCTAGCTTTAACGTAAACGAATCAACAATGATGTAGCGTTGTTTGTATACATGAAATAGTAATACTATGTGATGGAGTAAACAAGAAAAAAAAAACAAATTCAACAATAAATCTCGCTCGTCCCTATAAATGTTCTAAATGGACCGAATATAGACTCTACTAAGGTCAGTCTTTGTCAGGATCTTAAACAGCTTTTTCATGGGTACCGTGTCATAAGCCTTTCCTAGATTTATAAATACTAAATGGATGGGCAAATCCTTCATCTTGGTATCAAGACTTTCTTGTACGAAAACCACTTCGTTCTTCCACGTCGACTTTGCCATAAAATAATCTTCGATAATTTTATATTTCCAATTTTGAATATTGAAACATTATCTCTTTCCAAAATACATCTGTTAAAAAGTGTTGCCAAATTAGTGTAATATCTCCCGTAGCTCTAACATCAACTTTCTCTACTGTTAATGTTTCTCAAGATCGATCGTGCTATCTATTGATGTCGTCCCAATATCGTCTGGTTCTTTCAATATCGTGTCTTTGAATAACATTTTATGTTTTTGTTAAACGTGACATATTTCACAATTAAAAATTTTAAAGAAACGGAACTAACACTTTATTTTAAGCCTCAAAAATAAATAGTTTATTTCTAACTTAAAATTACAAGATATATTTTTAAATTAGAAGTTATAATTTTATGACACCAAAAAGTTTCGATGGTCCACAAGCTGGTAGTTGACAAGTTTTTTCTTCCATTTCAGTTTCAGCTATATCACAATTCTCCAAACAGTGTCTCCATCGAATTTCCCGTCCCTTACCGCAAGACACGCTACAAGGTGACCAATTTGTCCATTTTCCCCATCTCTGTCGTTTTCCATCTTTTCGTTCCTTCTTCCTCCTTCTCCTCTCGATTCTTTGGATCAAACTGAGTTTTGGAGTTAAACTCGGCATTGAAGTCTGTTCTGTTAAAAGGAAAAAATTAGAGTTTTCTTTAAAGATATTTATTTAGAGTTTTACCGGAAAATTTATGTAGGGGGTAATTATTTGTAATTTTATTTTCTGGGTAATCTTCTAGATACGATTCGCTTGCTTTCAATTTTTTTTTAAACGAGTCAACTTTTTCTTCCATTTCAATTTCGTCGATTTTATCTAACAATTTCGATAGTAATGTTTTGATTTCTTTAAGGCTGTCCTGTTTCGAATGGCGATGTTTGAGAAAAAAATCCGGTCGAGTTGCTGTAGAATGCGGCGGCGAAGGAGTAATTTCACTTATACCTTCAAAAAACTTTTGATCGTCCATTCTATTTCGTTTTTCCATCCTATTTCGTTTATCGAACTTCTTCCCTTTTCCAGCACGTTTAATTTTGAAGCTTTCATCTTTTTCGTCGGAATCGAAAACGCATGGAAAAATTGGTGGTAATAATACCAGAGTCATAAGGAAGAAGACATAACTTATATTCATTAGATATTGGATCTACTGTTTACATATTATAGTAGAATCAAAGTTTCTTTTTCTTTTTGAATGTTTCTTCTTGACATTTATGATCGATAATATCCGTCAGTGACAAATTTACTTCAAAATTGTTTTTGTAAATTCAATGTTGTCATTTAATGTAATTCGAATATAATTTGTTTTTTATTTAAATCAATTGTCATTGCCAAATTTTTATAAGAAAACGGTCTGTACCACCCTAGATACCATGTTCTATGACCACGCTTTATAATATTTTCCACTAAATAATAAGTAAGGTTGTGTATATTCTAAACGAAGTTGTCACTTTAAAGACGAAGCCACTAATCTCTCGTCACTTGGCTAATATCTACGTTTTGAAATTAAAACTCGTGAGCAATATATTAAGATAACATAATTAAGTGCTATAATTAAAATTTGAATATTGTTTAAAAATCAGAATTACTGGAAGAATCTGAGTCTTCCGCTAGTTGGATGATGACAGGAGGTAAATCAGTTATTAATGAATTTCCCATTAATGTTGTCCAATCTTTTTTAATTAGTTCTTCACAGTGGCGAACACTATTTGCCCACATCTCCGGAGTGTAATGACCAAGAGCTTTTTGCCAAGTCTCCTTGACACGACAGATCTTTTTCTCCGAGCTGGACTGAACATGTTTATTGTAATAAGTTTTTAAGAACGCCCAACATAGTTCAATGGGATTATATTGGCAATTGTATGGAGGAAGGCGAAGAACAGTATGGCCATGGTCTCTTATTAATTTGTCAATTTCAAAGGATTTTTCAATTTGAGGCTTGTAATAACGGATTATTTCCCATAACGATTTTTTATTTAAGGTTGGTTCAAACTGTATATTATGTTCAGTTAACCATTTTTTCATATCATTTTTTTTTGTGCAGAAACTTGGAGCTTTCTCGATTTGTTTTGAGTGATATGGAGCATTATCCATTACTACCGCACACTTCGCACCCAAATTATTTAATGCTGGAAGTAATTGATTTTTCACCCATTCCATAAAAATAATTGACGTCATATTTTTATGATAATCTCTGTGCTCCGTGTTGTCACTGAGCAAGAGATCGCAATTTGGCAAAAACCCTGACGAAGTGCCTGCGTGCAAGATTGTAAATCTTTTTCCTTCGCCTTCTGCTCTTTGCGGAATACCGAATCTTTCATTTTCATTTACCCATTGATAAACTTGGGTGCCATTTTCGTAAATCCAAGTTTCGTCAAGAAAAACAAAAGTATACTCTCCGGATTCTAGGTATTGCAAGTATGTCTTTAAAAATGTAATTCTTTTTGAAACTATATGTGGTTGTTCAATTAACACTTTTCTATTGCTAATCTTTTTATATCTATATCCCATAGATTTTATAATTTTATGTAATTTTGATCTACCATTAGTAAAATCACATTCATTTCTTGCAAAATTAAGTAAATCATTAAGATTAAAATACTGTTTCTTTTCATGCAATTTTTGTATTTGTCTTCCTAACTCTTCTTTAATAAAATATAAATTATTATCCGTTTTGTAGTTCATTTTACAACGCCCTTGTGTTTTTGGTTTTTTTACAGTTTGATATTTTTTGTAGGTTTGAATAATTTTAAAAACCGTCGTGCTGTGAACCTAATACAATTATGTTGAATATAAATTTAATTTTAAAACTCAAGTGCAATACACATACATCAAAAATACGTGAAGCTTTATCACATATATATTTTAAATTCGTATTTGGTGTCTCCGTCTGTACTTCTTCACAATACCTAATTATAGAGTTTTTTTCGCGTTTAGACAGTTGACATCCCGTTCCACCCTTTCTTAACATTTTTATGGTAGATTTAGCAGCAAAAAAATTATATGAAAATTGTTTTTTAATCAATCTTAACAAATTTGATAGACAGTGGTGGCACACAATTAAAGTAAAAGTCACGACATGCGCTTTTACTTTCAATACCAACTTGACGACACTTTGACAATTGATTTAAATAAAAAACAGATTATAAATAATTTGCCGATAATAATGATTATTTTACATTTAAATATTCATTGTTACCAACATACTCCTAGAAATTTTTTTTAAACGGAATTAATTTATATTAATTTTATTAATGGAATTATTTAGAACAATGAAACCATTTTAATTATAATTTTTCCAATTAAATAAATTTAAAACCATTAAATCTTATTTTTTAAACAATCTAGTAACTTTTACTTTTTGACATAAATCGCTTTTGGTGACAGTTCTCCCGATTATCCTAACCAAATTCAGCGAAAGTGTCAAATGTATGTTATCGCTCCCAATAACCGATAAACAACTATCACCAAAAACAACATAAAAACTCGATATATATGCCCGACGATCAACAATTCATCCATATGACAATTAAAGGGTCGATTCGCTTAAAGTGTACCGATGTGTTTCGTTTTTCGACGTTGTGCACGTCAATGATCTCGCCAACGTAAACACGGGGACAAACTTTTCATTCAGTAATGTAGTTGACGGCCGAATTGTGGACGATATACATAAAAATTACGATTTAAAAAAGTGGGCTGCCGAAGAATCTACCGCAAAACCAAACACAATTAGGATCTGTGCTTATGAGTTATGGGTGGCTGCTGGTGTAAGCAAAAGAATGAGGACCGAGAGACGTATGTACCACCCCAGCAGTCCCACAATCATCATGCGGTCGATGTACCTCGCATACAGACCCCTTACGCCCTGCCCTGCTATTTGGAAAATACGGAAAAAGTTTGGCCAGATTCTGAAACCGTCGATAGTTTAGTTTTAGAAACATTAGGGGTTATAGGATCTTTAGTTGATAAGTAAGTCTTTATTGGATATAATCTTTATTGTTTTATTACCATTATAATTCGAAAAGTTATAAATTTTGTGTGATAATTGTTTTAATTTAATTGCTAATTGCTTTATTTATAGACTTTCTCTATTTATTTATTTATTACGTTCCACTTATTTCACAATGAAAACATGTACAATATCTAAAAACTATAAAAAAATTATAATGCCATTTCAAAAACACTTGAAAACTTATCAACAACTCTATCTACTTGTATTAATAATCCTTAAAATATGATAAATATTTTTCTACTCAAATACACAAGTAAAATGAATTTAATGAATTATTTTTAGCGAACAAGAACCTCCACCATCGATGATGCGTTTGCACAATATAGCTGATAACGAAGAAGGTTGGATTCAAGTGGTAAAATCGATGGTTCACGTGATTCCAATGTCTGATCCGTTGGGGCCCTCCGTCATAACGCTCCTCCTCGACGACTGTCCCTTACCGTCCCGAGAATCCGTTCTGAGAGTCGCGAAAATGTTCAATCTGTCTTCGCAACGAGCGATTTCCGGCAGAACGAACGCTCCAAAAGAACGAAATATTTGCGTAGTGCTCGGTTGTATAGCGGAAAAGTTAGCAGGACCGAGTAGTTTGGGTATTTTAAATGAAGGAACTTTAGATTATCTTCTTACAAATTTGGTGGGTTCATTAAAACGATAATTATTGTATATTAATTATTACAAAAAAAACTAATCTTTTAGAATCCTGATTCTGATCCGTATGTGATACTTTTCTCATTGATTGCTTTGGAAAAATTTGCGCAAACGAGTGAAAATAAAGCTACGATTATTCGTAGATTGGAAATGGAAGAACCTTGCCCCATTTCTAGGTTAGAAACGTGGAAAAATGAGGAACATTTTGTTAGGAGACAAGTTGGGTTTTGTGCTCAATGGGCTTTGGATAATTTATGTAAGTTTCTTATTGATAGAGAAGAAATGATTTTAAAAAGCTATGTATTTGTATGTTTATTATGATGTGGCTTCAAATCCAGCCAAACTTTCTATATCATATAGGAATTAATATTCGCGATGCTGCAGCAATTAGTACCTTTCTGTCAATGACCTTGAAATGCCTCAAAGTTTGTGGGTAGAAGTGATAACATACCACATCTATTTCTCAAACATAACTCATACTTTTGAACCTGAGACTATATTAAGAATGTGCGAGTATTACAGAATTTGAATTTAAATAAATTCTAAAAGAAGAAATGAAATTTTCAATTGAAAGATTTTGTCCTTACATTTTATCAATCAACAAAGATACTTCTTACAGTATATTACACAAATTATTAGCACTTGATGTAGTCATCACATGATTTTGTATCAATAATCATTAACATAAATTAATGAGTTTGATGCTAATTTTTATCTCTTGAAACAAAAACCATCTTCATTAATTTTCATCTTCTGGATAATGGCAAAGAACTTTTTTTGCATTAGAGTTGATTTCTTGAACACTCATTCCAAGAGTTAACGCTTTCTGAAGACGTAACGCAGAAGTTAATTGCAAAAACACATTTTAAAGAAAATTTTACTGTTGAACTTAGGTTGAAGCATGAGAACGTCTTCAAACCACTCTTTGCTGCATGAGGTGATTGGAAAAAAATGGTGAATTCATCATATGTATCACTTTATAGACTTGTTCCATATTTAATTCAATTTTTCTTCTCCATTAATGGTAGCTCCTGTACCTTATGTAAGCATTTGGATTTTATTTGTTCATTTGGAATCAACATTTTCCATTCAAAGATCCAATCAAGTATTTCATAACGTACATTTCTCTTCTACTCTTTGCGTTTGTAAACCAGTCAGGATTTTCAGTAGACTAGTACCATGAGTATTTCAGGTTGATATAATCTTAATCTACTGTTAACTGAGATATACAACTCCATCTGATAAAGCTGAGGTTGCTTGCCGCCAAGACAGGATAATATGATGATCAGGTTTTCAAACAAGTATGGCCCAATCACATATTCTGACTAAACAGCGCACCACACGGTCACTTTTTGTGGATGGAGTGGTGTCTCATGGAGAAGACGAAGATTGTTAGTGGCCCAAAACCGAAAGTTTTCTTTGTTTACATTTCCATAGAGATGGAAGGAAACAAAATTCCTGGTTTTGGGCTTCTCTGAGGCTGTCACAGAGATCTTTTGACTATTATATCAACCTGAAACTGGTCATCATATTCAATTAGTTTATTATGCTTTGCGTAGTTAATTTTCCTTATAGCCAGTACTTCTGTAACGCTATTCGCTTTATTTGCTGTATCTGTTGCATATACAGGGTGATTCAAAAAACTGCTGACAGACTTCTAGAGTAGATAATACAAGAAAAATTAAGATGAATAGTCTTAATATACATGGGGTCGAAAATGCTTCGTTGGCGAGATACAACGGATCAAAGTTTCTTTAAAATTAAACATTATCTGCAATAAAAAGCACTTTTTAAAAATATTGTCTACGCCATTGCTCTCTACGCGTGTAAACTGATCAATTATCTATCAATTGGTCTCTTACACAACTTTAATCAAAGCAATACTTTTAAAAAAAAACACGTTTGTAGAAAATTTGTTAATTCAATCAAAAACTGTTGCTTTAATTAAAGTTTTGTAAGAGACCAATTGATAGATAATTGATCACTTTACACGAAAATACTGTTTGACAAAATTAACAGTGGAGTTGAAAATATTTTTAAAAAAGGGCTTTTTATTGCAGATAATGTTTAATTTTAAACAAACTTTGACCCGCTATATCTCGTTAAGGAGGCATTTGCGACCCCATGTATATTAAGACTTTTCATCTTAATTTTTGACGTATTACCTGCCCTAGAAGTCTGTCAGCGGTTTTTTGAATCACCCTGTATAAATATTTTGTAGAGTCATGCTCTGTTAATTCAATATTGAATTTTGAGATTTTTACAATATTATATGCACATTTAGGAGAAGAATAACTATCATTATAGCATTGTAATCAAAGTTTGTACAGCAATTTGTTGTAGCTATAAGTACTTGTTATAAAATACAAGTAATACGTGATCCTCTTAAAAATGTGTAATAATCATTATTGCAACCGTTTTTTGAATATGGATTTATTTCCGGGAGTCATCCTGTACCGATATTCCTCTGGTACACCATTTTTATTCCTAAACAACCTCTACGAAAGAAGTTTTTTAATATCCGCCACTGTGATTATACTTATATAAAAACTATACCGATATATAGATGCATCTGTCTTGAATACTATTTAAAAACCATTGACAGCCTTATATGAAAGAAAAAAAATTTTGTTCTATCTTTCAAATAAAATAGAATCATACATACAGGGTGCCCATTATGTATGGAATATAGTATATATCTTGGTAGGTATCAACTTTATAAAAAAACATTTTATACAAAAGTTGTTTAATATTTTATTTGTCATAACAAAACAGCATTCAATTGTTTTTATTTCAGAAAAAAAATGAGCAACGAATAACACTTGAAATTTTTTAAATGTCAATGTATTCTTTCTTTATGATGGCGTAAAATTGTAATAAAAATTAATCAATAACATTAATCTAAATATCCGAGATCGTCAAGTACCTTGAATTATTAAACATGTATACTAATTTTTCGTTTATTTGTTTTATTTTGTATGTAAATTTAATTTACGGTAATAATTCGAGGTACTTGACGATCTCGGATATATAGATTAATATGCTGTTTTCTCCGTGTTCATCATGTATTTTAATTAGAGTGGTAGAAAATAAAATATTTTACTTCTATTTAGATGATGAAAATGTTTATTTACTTATGTTTTCGGTGCTTGTAGTGCTATACGAATTTATCGTATTTCGAATAAAAAATTATTCGTCCTCAGGCACGACTACAAAACATATAAACTAGGTGAGTGTCTCAATTAAACATCATAATACATTGAACAAAACTTATTTCACAGGACATATTAAAAATTAAAGGTTAAAATTAACTAAATACATGACTAAAAACATATTTACCGTCAATTTGTTTAGGCATTAAAAATGATGTTGAATATTCTCGATAAATTTGAGGTGTAGGAAAACTTTTAATACGACCCTTTTAATAAATCTTTACCTTACAACGAAGAATATTAATATTTGGGTCGTATTAAAAGTTTTCCTATACCTCAAATTTATCGAGAATGTTCAATATCATTTTTAATGCCTAAACAAATTGACGGTAAATATGTTTTTAGTAATGTTTTAATAGTATTTAGTTAACCCATTTAGTCCCAAGCTGCTTTATGTTTAAAAAAAATTATTTTTTATACTTTTCCTTAAGATAAGATGGAATGAAGAGTATAAAAATATACACAGGTGTTTGAAACAAAAAATTGTTTTTGAGATATGAGATGGTGCAAAAATGCACCACTGGTAAGATAAGTGAACAACAGCACACAAAAATTTTGATTATCATTTATTAACTAAGTAATAAATTAGTCGTAAATAAATAATAATACTAATACAACATTATACTAACAAATACCAACTTTAGTATAAAGTTTAATATAAAAAATATTTAAACTAAAATTGGTGCAAAAACGTACCAATGGGATTACCAGTATAACGATTTATTGTGATAGTCTACACACTTACTACACATATGTATAGTATGTTTATGGCATATTTTACATCTTCTACGAGCTTTAGAGTCGTGATTCTTTATTAAAAGGTCATTGGAAGATTCAAATGCTCTGTTTGACCTCGTGTTTCGTTCAGTATTAGGTGTTGCGTTTTCATATTTCATTAGCCGAACTGCAATATGTGATTTAAAATCCAATTGTGCCATTTTAGTATTATTGACAGTATTGTATAATTTCCACGCGTTTATTATGACACTATCCTCCCTTTCTCTCTATTTCCAGTTCATCAACAATTTCTTCTAGAGAAGCATCTAATTCCCTTTTTGTGAGAAACCGAGACATTTTGCACAAAAACACACTCTTAACACAGTATTCCATAAATGACTAAATTCGTTCGGAAATTCACCTAACAGACGCGTCTAAACTGGTTTCAAATTATACGAAAGATGATGCAATCCTTATATCTCTTCATACATCGTCCCAATGGTGCGTTTTTGCACCATTAATGTTTCAAGTCGTATTTTCAGAATCGATAGTTTTATTTCGCGTTTCAAGATATATATGAGGAAAGTATGCACTAAAATCTTGCAAATGAAAAAATTTTGAAGAATTTTATGCACTAAAAATAGTTTTATTTTCATTGTATATTTTGAACAGAAATGTTCAATAGAAAAGAATTGATGTAAATATGTTTTAAATAGCAAGAATTATGAAATATTTTGATATGTATAGCCTAACAACCTTATACTGTTATCGTACAAACAGCTAACACCTTTAAATTTGGAAATGTATGGCTGTAAAATAATTTTAAAAACGCTGGTGCGTTTTTACACCAGTGGGACTAAATGGGTTAATTTTAACCTTTAATTTTTAATATGTCCTGTGAAATAAGTTTTGTTCAATGTATTATGATGTTTAATTGAGACACTCACCTAGTTTATATGTTTCATGTTTTGTAGTCGTACCTGAGGACGAATAATTTTTTATTCGAAATACGATAAATTCGTATGCACTACAAGCACCGACAACATAAGTAAATAAACATTTTCATCATCTAAATAGAAGTAAAATATTTTATTTTCTACCACTCTAATATAGATTAATGTTATTGACTAATTTTTATTAATAAACAATTTTTACATTTTTTTCAAAAATTTTCTAATGTAAGGGTACAAAAATTTGACGTCATCGTAAAGAGAAAAGTAATCTTCATCTTAATAGTACAGGCATTGGGTAGTTTTGTAAAGGAAAAGTTTTACTTGGAAAAGGCGACGTCCTTATAATAACTCTGAGTTTTCGTCTTAAGAGACGCACGTCTTAACACGAATGTTTCTAGGTGTAGTGTTAGTTCTACTTTTCGTTCAATAAAAATATACCACAATCTAACGCTAAATAACAATTAAAATTAGAACTAACACTAGACCGAGAACTAGAAACATTCGGATTTAGCCGCACGTCTCGCAAGCCGGCTAAACTCGAATGATTCTAGTTCTAGGTCTTGTGTTAGTCCTAGTGATAATGCTAATGCAAAACTACAAGCAACACTAGACCGAGAACTAGAAACATTCGGATTTAGCCGCACGTCTCTCAAGACGGCTAAACCCGAATGATTCTAATTCTAGGTCTTGTGTTTGTCCTAGTGATAATGCTAATGCAAAACTAGAACTAACACTAGACCGAGAACTAGAAACATTCGGATTTAGCCGCACGTCTCTCAAGACGGCTAAATCCGAATGATTCTAGTTCTAGGTCTTGTGTTAGTCGTAGTGATAATGCTAATGCAAAACTACAAGCAACACTAGACTGAGAACTAGAAACATTCGGATTTAGCCGCACGTCTCTCAAAACGGCTAAACCCGAATGATTCTAGTTCTAGGTCTTGTGTTAGTTCTAGTGATTGTACTAGTGTAAAACTAGAACTAGAAAGTGTCGGGTTTAGCCGTTCGTCTACAGACGTATTAATCCGTTATGTCGAGGTTTTAGTGCAGTGGTTCCCAAACTTATTATGACTACGCACCCCTTTTTGAGCCAAAACGTGATTGTAGACCCCCTAGTCAGTGCCGTGCTACTAAAACTGTTTTTACCGGAATGCAGTGGTCGTAAAAAGTGAGCTGGCTAGAAAATTGTTGACCTGTCACTGACTTGTGACGTAAAATAAATACATACAACAAATATTTTGATATTTAAAACAACATTAAAAAAAACATGTTCCTGTTTTAAAGAAAACATTTTTTAACGTGATGGCTGAGCCCGATGAGTTGTGATCAAATTGTTTATGTTTGGCTTTATATTTGTAAGCAATAACCGCAAGTCACCACGAGCACTAACATCAAGTCGGTTTCTTTTTTTCGTAATCAGGTTCATAACCGCACTAAATCTACGTTCCATTAACTATGAAGACGAAAAAGCTATTAAAAACTTTTCCGCACTGTCCTATACTTCGGAATATAAAGTTGATATCTGTTTTTGTAACCAACATTTTTCATATCCGTCAACAAACATTGGTTTTAATTCTTCGTTTGTACTTAGCTCGATAAGTTGCTAATGAATGAAACACAGAGCTAGTTGATTTGTATGTAAAAGGGTCCAACACCCAATCGGGAATAACCAAATGAAGAATGACTTCAAATCTTTTTTTGAAATCTAAGTGAAGTGCTGACAATATACAAAGCAAATCAACATCACGATTTTGTAGCTAAAAAAGTTTTGGAAATTAAGAGAATTCTCCTCTTCCCAACTTTTCTTTATAGAAAAAAAGTTTTTTTACGAATGCAGATATTACACTTTTTGTTTTCATTAAATTCAACTGATCGCCTTGCAGCTTCAAATTGATTTCGTTAAATTTGGCAAACATATCATTTCTTGAATGAAATAAATTAAGTCGCAGATCATTGTCTTCAGTTTCAAAGAATTCTAAAACTTAATCAAAAAGGGAGTAAAATCTATTCAAACATGCACTTCTAGACAACCAACGTACTTCTGTGTTAAGTAGCAAACGATTGTAACCTTCATCATTCTCCAGGCAAAGTTGAGCAAATAATCTGTCATTCTTTTTGATTTTATTAACTGCTGTAATCACATAATTCAGTGAGCGATGTAAGATTTTTTGCTACTAAATGTTGTCGATGAATGACATATGCCAGGAAACCTCGATGGCGTCCTACCATTGCCGGAGGACCATCAGTAGCAACGCAGATGATATTACACAAAGGAATAGCTTTTGCTTCAAAAAATTTTTAATTCCTTAAATATAGTTTCATCTTTTGTATCAGTTTCCAAACATACGCTATAGTATCTTACAAATTTAGTTGTTAATACACTTCACAGACTTACATATACTACAACAACTGACTACTGTTCCTACTTTTTGCGGACCCCCCAACGCTACCTACGGACCCCCGAATTAATTTTATTTTGCTACGGACCACCTGAGGGACCCCAAGGGGTCCGTAGGAACCACTTTGGGAACCACTAGTGTAATGTCAAATTACATATATTGACTTGTTATGCATTTTATGTGGGACAAAGTCTTGGTTTGTATGGAAATATATTTTAGTATATTGCATCTTAAGTGAAATTTACTGTATAACAAAATTTTTTCTTATTCTTTATAATTTTACTTTTCAGTTGTAATGAACAATCGAATGTACACATTTTTAACGGTCGATATGACTCCGATCAACGCAATGCTCAACACAAAAGACGTTAGTGAATACCTCAAAATTTCTCCTGACGGTTTGGAGGCTCGCTGCGATGCTTATTCCTTCGAAAGTGTCCGTTGCACGGCGCAAGCCGATAATGGAGTCTGGTACTATGAAGTCACAATAATCACCCCCGGCGTGATGCAAATTGGTTGGGCGACGAAGAACAGCAACTTTTTAAATCATGAAGGTTACGGAATCGGCGACGATCTGTATTCGTTGGCTTACGATGGTTGTAGACGTTTAATTTGGTATAACGCCAAATCTGAACCTCAAATGTTACCCCGATGGGCTTCTGGAGATACTTTGGGTTGTCTCCTAGATCTTGACAATCAACAGATTGTATTTTCAGTTAATGGGGTTTCTTTGCCACCATGTACACACGTTTTTAATATGGCTAAGTAATAAGTTTTAATTTCTGTAAATTAAAATGTATAAAATGTATATCTTTTAGGAATGGTTTTTTTGCAGCAGCTAGTTTTATGTCATTCCAACAGTGTCGATTTAACTTTGGCGCAAACAACTTTAAATATCCGCCAGAGGGTGAATATCACACATTCAATGAATCCGCTACATTGAAGCCTGAAGATAAAATCGTTATGCCCCGGCATATTTATTTACAACAATTGAGACAACAAAGTGTAAGAGAAGACAGTTGTACGCTGTGTTACGATCAAAAGGCGACCGTTCAATTACTTCCATGTGAACATTCGTGAGTAATTTCGAAACAAGTTAAACAAAGTTATTGATTTGATTATTTTTTTGTATTTTAGAGGATTTTGTATGTCATGTGCATCCCAGTTAAGTGAATGCCCGATGTGCAGGTCAATGTTTCGTGAAATCGTCGAAGTCAATCCTTGACATATAACGGGTAGATTTAGACATATAGGCCGCGCCGAACAGTTCATATCGTTGTTAATCGGGACAAAAACAGAGTTTAATATATATTATATAGGTATATCTACAAGAAATTATATTAATTTTTATCACTATGTAAAATGCTTTATACATACTTATACATAAAAAGAAATGAAGATTATATATATATATAAATATAATTATTGTACATTGCAGATACTTTATTATGTAAAATTGTAAATACATATTCTAGCTTTTAATGCGTTTTCTCGAATTAACGAATTAATTTAGGATTTGTTAAAGACTGGTCATATTGTTGAATAGGTAATGTACGTTTTTATTACTTATCATTAGTTGGTTTACTGTAATTTTATTATAAACAGTTGTGGCACTATCAATTGTTGCGCATTCTTCAACAAGAGATATTTATTTTTATCATCAGTCCGTCATTAATGTATTATAGAGTTTTATTGTTCGGATCTATTTTAAAAAGAGAATATATACATATTTAACAAGGTTATAATTATTTTTAACATTAAACACCATAAAAAATGAGAATAAAATAAAATCAATCGTATAAATTGATTCGAATAGAGAAATAATATTCAAATTTGCCGCTAAAAATTTAGGGTAATTAAAATACTTAAGTTGGCAACATAAACCCAAATATGAATAAGAACCAATGTGACAAGGCCAAGTTTTGTTTTTATACAAACCAAGTTTTTCTATAAAGAGTAAATTATGAATAGCACGTATCAGTGATTGAATCTAACGTTTATCAGTAAAGCGACCCACGCAAAATCGATCGTCGAGTCGAAGGGAATCGAGCTGCATTAGCCCCGGAAACGCAATCACGTGCCCGTGCTGCCCCAATGTTATGTTTTGATGCTCGCACAAAATGGCTGGTAAGTTTTTTAACTGCGAGCTTCCTCATGAAAGCACCTGTTTCACGCCGATGACCGTTTGCAGATGTCTCGCTAACACACGAGGACAACTTCGAGGACCGCGACAAAGGTACGTGTGTTGTACGACTTGTTTTTGTGTCATTTCGTGCGCGGTCGTTTTTGACAGTTCGGTTTACGTTTTATAGCCGTAAATTCAACCATTTCTTAAATTAAAAGTGGTCCGGGCGCGCGTCACGTTCCTAGGATGGCTTTCGGTGAGTTTTTATTTCTCCATCAATCGCGGCCCCATCGATTTTGAGATATTTCAGTTTGAGGTTAGGTTCATCCTGTCAAACGGTGCCATGGAGAGGTTGTTGTGTTGCCCCCTCTTAGTCAATCGTAAAATTTAAATGACTTGGACACTTCTTGGTTCAGGGCCCGTAGCCTATTTTAACTTTTAACCAGTTGCCCTTAGCGGATGGGTCAATGATCGTCATGGTCTTAGGTTTTGCTCCTTTTTATTGCTTGATCGTTTTGGTTCGTTTCTTTTAAGCCCTTTTGTAACTGTAAATGAGAAATATCTTCATTACTATTATTATTAACGTAATATTATAAATATATATACATAGTGAATATTCAAGGAAATTCTTAATTGATTAGATTACATTGTTTAGAAAATTATTAATCCATTTTAATCATGCGTTATCACACTCATATTGGGTGATTTATAAAAACTCAATTTTATCAAGTTGTTTATTAAATTAAGGGTGAGCCTAATTCCAAAAGTTTATATACTATAGCTAATATATGTATAAATATTCATTTCAAGTATAATGAAATTAAGAAATTTTATTCCAATACGTTTTCTTAAATGTAATGCAACCGGTTTCGACAACAAATCCATCATCAATGGTTGTTTCCTTCATTCCTTCATACCAAAATTTTTTTGATCGTGAAGACACCGTTAACTAATTCTTCAATGACTCCACAAACCGTGATCGGTCTCTGGGCTCTCTCAATTTTAGCCTCCAAGCCTCTCTGTCTATGGTTTCTCTCCATCTTGCTTTCGGCCTTCCCCTAGGTCTCACTCCTTGCATTGCCTGTTAAACACTTGCTTCGGTACCCTGTATCCTGACCACATGTCAGGGTTGCCCACTGAAAGGTCTGGATCTTCATGTACTCTAGCAGCATTGAATCCTAATACTAGATGAATAGTTACTTCTCGAAAACTTGTATGCTGTTTGTCAGTTTCTAAGTTAACGTTCAGATTTTACAGCCATGTATCAGTATAGGTCTTAAAATCTGGAACTATATGTTCCTAGATATAACCTTAGATTTGATGATATGGGCTATTGCATACTAAGCTTTATTAGCCGGCAATATACTTCTATGTATTTCCCCAGCCTGACGGCAATTTTTCCAGTTCCATTCTGTCTCAGTCATTCTCTATATCACCATCCACAAGTCTGTTTTCGTCTACATCAAGCCTCTATCATCCCCATCATTAAGAAATCTCTCTCAAGTCTCCAATCAACACTGCATCTAACAGTGCATCAAGATTCCTTGAAGATTGCATAAAATCTCCATACATCTTCATTAAATCTGCATTATGCCTTCTGCCTTTAGGGTCATAAAGTTCATAAAGTCTAGTTCAAAGATCATAAGCGTAATTCTGTGTAAAGTTTACATCAAATTTGTAAGAAGTTCGCATTGTGTTTCTATCAAATTAAATCTGTCTAAGTGCATTAAGAATTCTTCAAAATTGCTTTAAATCTCGTACAATTCTTATTAAATATCCATTGGGTTTCTGGCTCAATTGTACTAAATCCGCATTAACTCATTATCTTTTTATTTAATCTAATTTTCGATTCTTTTTTATTAAGTCTTCTCCAAGATTCCATTAAGTGAAGTCTGTACAGAGTTAAGGCCCCATGAAGTCTGCATCCATCTCCATTAATTAAGTACTCACCATGTTTTAATTAAGTCAAGTTGGAGCAGTCAAATCTTCATTAAGACTGCATTATGTCTCTCACATTTACATCTAGAGTACATCAAGCCTTCTTGAAACCGCCTCATATCTTCATGCTGTCCTTATTAATATTGCATCGAGTTTTGACTTTGACTTTATAGAAGTTTAATGCCTTGATTAACACGTTGGCTGCCATGTCATCATCATTTATTATTAGGTATGCATGGAGTAATCATCAAATCTTAATAAGGTAACTACGTATAAAGTTTACATCATCTCTGCATTGAGTCTGCAATATACTTCACTACAACTACTTCACTACAAATTCACCTGATCCTAAAAGTAGAGCTAACATTGGGCCTAGAAGTAGAAACATTCGGTTGTTACCGTGCATCGCTCAAAACGGCTACACCCGAATGTTTCTAGTTCTGTCTTCCTGGTGACCAAAACATCCAGGAGAGATAACTGTTTACCAGCTTCTGGTATTATGGACACAAAGGTGTCATCTATGTAACGAAACCACAGCTTTGGTTTACACGGACTCTTTCTTAACGCTTCTTCTTGAAACATCTCTATGTAGAAATAGGCGATTACAAAGGTGATCCCATGGCTAACCTATGTCGATGATAAACAGTACTCTACTAGCCCTGGAATATACTTTGGTAAACTTTGCGAACTGGTACGTTGCAGAATTTATGCCACTGACAATATCTGGTTTGTTGATTCTAGGTAAACCATAAATTCTTGGTGGTAGTAAGGACGGTACAAACAAATTTTTCGGTTGTTCTGCTAAAATTTCTGTATATTGTAATTTCTTCTGAATGAAGCAAATGGGTTAAATTGTTAATTCTTTGCACCATATTTTTGCCATGTTTCATATCTGGAAGTATATCAAGACTTCTTCAAGATTCCATAACATCTTATTAACTGAGTCAGCACTTCTTATTAAATCTGAGTCAAGACTGCATCTACGAGTGTATCAAACCTTAAGATTAGGTATATGTTTAGGAAACAGTTAGGTGACAGAAATTTTACTACTTCCGTCAGTTCCGCTGGCTGAAAGGTTCTTGTTGCTACACGTGAGTGTATTGCTGCAATTATTATCATTAATTATTTTTATTCTTAATTGCTACATCCATCAATTAGCGTTTGCTTGGAAAGAACGTGATTATAAAAGTATTAACTCTTTATCAATAAACATCCGATTAAAGTCTTTACGAAACTAATTTTTGTTTTATTGCGATCCTAACCTAGAGTTATCATCCGATTAACTTAAGGTTAAGATTAACATGCGATTTATAAGATTCGTTTATTCTCCAATTTGATGTAAACGCCGAGATTATAATAATTAGCTTAGCTAATCTTTATTTAAAACTCTCAACGATCCGTTAGTCTAAAGTTAACGCAAGGTTAACTGTCGCTCAACATCCTATTACAATTTAAAAAAAATCAATTTTTGATTTAACATAATGGGAAACCAAGAATAACACATTGTTAACTAAATTAACGCCACGTTTAACATCCATTAGTGTACAATCGTAGATGATAACATCAACTTTTGAACATAACATTAACATTGTTTCGATTAACTTTGCTTAATTAATCAAGATCCACGACTTGGAAATTAGGTGACCTAAAATATTTTGGTGTTACTAATTTCTTTAGAATTTTCACTATTCTTGAAAAATCGATAATATCATAGAGTCATTTGTTTCCAAGAAATATGATGAATACAAATGACTCAGTAAACAGGTTCTATTACAAAATATAGTGTTTGGTATCTTTAAACCCTATTTTCAGTAGTATTTCAATAGTCTCCGAACCGGAGATGCCTATGAATAACTTCCAACTATTTTCCCAGCGCCAGATAATAATTATAGTTAAATATTTATGCGGCGTCATCAGCCGTAAATAGAGATGGATGGGTCGAAGTGTGCGCGTCATCGTCGCCGTGCGAGAGAGTGTGTGACGCAAACGGCGCATGTACCCCGGTTTTAATTGATGATAATTGTGGTTGTGGCTGTGCCGGTCGCAGCCGCGTGCACCGCGTCCGGGGAAACGTTGACCCAATGGCATAGAAATATTTCTAATTCGGTCCCGTTGCGTGGCGTCGTGTCGGTCCGGCATTGTTTTGAAAAAGGTACTTGGCGTTTGCTGGTCTTGGTCTGGCCGGCTTCCTATCTGGGTCGAACGAATGTTTTGTCTTTTGATTATTTTTAGGACATTCTGACAATGAGCGAGGAAAATAAAAATGTTGAGACTGAAAATATGAAAAAGAAAAAAAAGTTCATTGGCATGAATCGTCAGATTTATTTTAGCAAAACGTTTCAGCAAAAAATGGTTACTAAAGCGCCATCAATAACAATTGGTATGAAAATACTCTCAGCTCCTCAGGCCCCGTTGCCGTCTGAAGTTCACCCGGGTTATTGACCTTGAACCCACCCCTCCCGTTTTCGAACTTGATAGTCTTTTAAATTTCGAATTTATTTTTGACCCCAATGCTATATGTACGTTGTAAAAAAGGAGAATTGGGGTTAATTTCGGATTTTTTGGATGTGGTGATTTAGTAGTGTTTAAAAGGAAATAACGTCAATGAAAAACGTATATGGGGGCGTATTGTAGTAAGTTAAGACGGAGGGGTTCTTCCGCCGCCACCGCCTCCGCATCGCGTTTCAACCACGCAGGCTCCTATTGATCTAAGTGTCCGGCCAAACCGTGGCGCCCTCCGCGAAGTCGGCGGCGGTGCTCTTTACTAGCGTCTCCACCCGACCGTCGCCGGCGTCCACTCGCCACCACGTACAGCCGGCCGTCTCCTCTTCAGTATTTTTGAGTGTTCTGCAACAGTCCGGTGTCTTGATTTTCTTTCAACGTGAATACAATTTGATCGCGCTGAAAGTGAGAAAGTTAGATTTCCATATTTCTAGTCCTCACAGTAAAAAGTGGGTGGACAGATCCGAATATTAAGCTTTGGAGTGTTGTTGGGTGAATAATAATACAGTGATTAACAAACGTAAATAAAGATAATAGGAGTGTGTAGATATTAACATTGAGTGCACAGGGTGACGCCTCTAAACGGTTGACAACATAAGGAGGTGGTTTCCCCGGGGAGGTGCCCCTTGATGTTGATTAAGGTAGGTGTCGGCACCTATCTTTCTCGGGGTATTAACGATTCTTTTCGAGCCTTCCTAAATGCCATGATCTCGCCGCCCCACCACACCGCCACCACCCCTCGGTTCGGTGGTTGCGACGACCGCGTTCCAAGAGGTTATTGATCCCACTGTCATTTTCGGATGACTGATTAATTTTCCGGTGACGTAGCCGAAATATGTCATATACTTATACGCTGTTCCGGTCAAGCTTTTTATTTTTTACTCGATTCCATTAAAAAATTCTATGATGCTATGATCTAAATAAAAAAGAGTCAAATCAAAGTATTTGGGCTTTTTTAAATCTTCACCCTAATCCGGTCCTGTGCAATACGGGCGTGGTTATGAATGGCGCCAGTTTTGAATGGTGAAACGTACGGGAAAACATCGATCGGCCGTTTTGGGGCGTTTCCATTCTGTCCACGCGGACCCGCGGCGCTAGCGTTTCTCGGAAATGAGCTTTAATTGATATTTTTTCATCGGAATTACCACCCCTTTCGTTTCACCTTCTATATCACACGCTAATCAATCAATTTTCAATGTAATTACATCTAAACTTTTCTACTTTTTCAATCGATTTAAATAATCGTAATACTAATAAATTTAAAAATAAAATTTTTTGTTTTTCGTTTTATTATAGGAATTTTCGAGCAAGGAGATGGTTCAACCCCGAGCAGTCAAGTGGAGGACGATTCGCTGCCACCTCTTCTCAGGATACAGAAGTACGCACAGTCCGAGAATTTTAACGATCGGTGAGTCATAGAAATTTAATTGTACACGATAAATAGAGTTTTTAAAGGGCAATCTGATTAACACATATTTTCAATTTCAACTTAATCATTTTTATACATGTAGGTAATCTGAATGAAGAATAATGTTATGATTGAATAACAGCATAAATACCGCTATTTGAAATTTCCCACAGTAAGCGGTACTTAGTTGATATAACGAGATGCATAAAGCGAAACCTGGTCGATTTATACTTAATATATCGGCCGTCTTACGTCGCGTCGCGACGCCAGCAATTGCGGACGTCTCATTCAAAAGTCGTCACGCGACCGCATGAATGGAGTTTGGTGCCGTGGTAAATACGCCGACGACGTCGGTTCGCTATTAACAGACTGCTTAATTAGCCTTGGTCACTACTTGTATCGTACCGGTGCAGTTCCCTATGGTATAACTCTTTTTATATTTTCTCTTCGCGTCAACCGTGTGCCAGAAAAATATATCTTTTTGGCTCCCTTTTGTATAAGTAGCGAGTGACCTGTATGCGCGCCCGTATTATTATTGTCGCCCAAACTATTTTTGGACACCTAATTGGGCCATCCGTGACGCCGGAGTGCTTTTGGATAGCCCGTGAACTGAAATAGTTTTTTAGAATTCTCGACACCACATCTCGGATTGCTAAAAATTTTAAAATCATTATTTCAATTAAAGGTAAAGTAATATTCAATGCAGATTTAATATTAAAATTAATTACTTTTCTGTATATACAGGGTGATTCACATAAGAACCGACACAGAGCAGGAACATGTAGAGGACAATAAATTAAGATGATTTAACGCAACTTATCTCTATACTAAGTTGTACCCCTGATGAGTTATAGGCCTTCAAAGTTGGGTCTTAAATTTTTAAAACATTGAATATCTTCGTAATGCATTAAGCTAAAAAAACCAAATTTGGTATACGTTATGAGTGTACCGAGGGTATTAACTGGTAGCAAGTTGAGACCAATTGAGGCATTCCAAAGGGTTGATTAAGCGTGATGGTCCCCTAAATTTTGACACATTTTTTTAACCTTTTGGTGGATTTAATGCATTATTACCTCATTTCATGTGGAATTTAATTCTAAAACTTTTTTTACACTTATTATTTTTTAAAAAACATTGTCGTTTTCATAAAAAACTCAAATAACTAAATTTCGTTAATGCTACTTAAAATCATCGAAAATTCAGTAGTCGGCTGTGAAATTGTATGTCAAACTTGACAAATAGGTTATAAAACCTTGTTGTCAAATAACTTTATAACCTATTTGTCGAGTTTGACGTACAATTTCATAGCCGACTACTAAATTTTCGCTTCTTTTAAGTAAAATTACGAAATAAGTGTCTTTAGTTATTTAAGTTTTTTATGAAAACGACAAAGTTTTTTAAAAAATAATAAGAGTAAGAAAAGTTTTAGAATTAAATTCCACATGAAATGAAGTAGTAATTTATTAAATCCGCCAAAAGGTTAAAAAAATCTGTCAACATTTATGGTACCATCACCCTTAATCAACCCTTTGAAATGCCTCAATTGAGTTCAATTTGCTACCAATTAATACCCTTGGTACACTCATAACGTATACCAAATTTGGTTGTTCTAGCTTAATTTATTACGAAGATATTGAACTTTTTAAAAATTTAAGAGCCAACTTTGAAGGCCTATAACTTCTCAGGTGTACAACTTAGTATAGAGGTAAGTTACTTTAAATCATCTTAATTTATTGTCCTCTACATGTCCCTGCTCTGTGTCGGTTCTTATGTGAATCACCCTGTATATATATATATATATATATATATATATTTACAAATTGCTATGACTATTAAGTAATTGATGAACGATTAAATGAATTTTAAACATTTACGAAGTAATTCCAGTGGGTGTAGATTGTAGAAGTTTATGACCGTAAGGAATTTGAGCTTTCGTACGTAGTGGCACGCATTCTGAAGACACAACAAACCGCAAGTTACGCCACGATCTTGTTCCCGCTGCCATTCGTTTATATGACGATGAAGTCGTATAATCTTAAAATATCTTTATTAAATATATATATATTTAATAATTTTAAAATAAATTAAAAAAACAATACACATTTTTTTATTGGCGGTTGTAGACAATCGTTTGGCGGCGCTTCTCATCGGTCTATTTCCGTTGAGGCGCGCGGTGTCGCGCGTCGGAATGCCGCCAGAGAAACGACGCCGAGTCGTTAGTCTGCGTCCAAGTTGGTGAAAGACGGAGAGAGAAAAAGAGGGAGATGAAGAGACGCGGCGCCGGCCTCTAATAGGGATAATACGCGGTCAACGCTCCCTAGCGTGGCGGCGGTGGCGAAGGCATCATTGGAGCGCCGCGACGCAGGATGACCGGGTTGCGTCGCGACGCGGCCGCCATCAACATCGGCCGCTTTTGCTGTCCGGGTCAGCGGGTTGAGAGGGCGACGACCCCCTGCGCTCTGCCCTGGTCTGTACGCACATCGTGATTGACCATGGTTACCCACTAGCTATTGGATAATAAGTGGGAATCAATATGAATTAATATTATCAAAAGATTGATCACAATCAAACGTATGAATGTTATTGGACATAGGATTGATGGTGAAAGGGATGTTGTTAGTGCATTTACATCCTCAATAATTTGCTAATCTTCTAAATATTTAAAGTAACCTCACATCAATTGGGTTGCAAAAAATATAACTTTGATGATATAACAATTGATGTGATTTCACCAGGCATGAATCTGGAATGGTGGATGGCGAGGTTACTCCAATTCAATACACGATGTATTGTTCATAATCAAATTTTTATGTTCCTACTTTGAATGAAAAACACTGCGTAATCTTACACTTTCTAGCAAGAGAAAAAAGCTACGCAGTTAAGTTCATTAAGTGATACTCTTTGAAAATTGTAGTTTTCTATTCATATGGCATGCGTGTAGTGCCATATCAGTAGAATTCTTTTCTTTGGCATCACATGTTCTTAAATTCTCTTCCCTTATCTCCACTTAGCAATCAATGATCAGCGCAGTAGTAACTTCTGATTACTTCCACATCAATTTCAATATCAACTTGAGTATAGTAACGCTTACAATGTTACTTGTTGTTAACGTAAATGAAAATGATGAGGATCAGGGCCGGTGTTGAAGGAAGATATAGGCCACAATTAAAAATAATTTAGGATTAGAGAGTTGTAAAGTGCGGTGTTAAAGACTGGCAGAATTGAATAAAAGCCACAAAGTCGCTAATGTCATATGTTGAATTTCATTTCCACCAACAACTTTATAGGTGTGTGCTTTATAACCAAATAGCGCAAATTCTCCTCTATATTACGAATAACTGTTTACAGACAATAAGTGCTGATTATGCCAAGTAAGTTTGCTCTTTTAGTAAGCGAATTCGGATGATCGTTAATATAAGCTAGAAAGAAAGGGGAAGCTTAAAAATTGATGCCTTAGGATCTTCGCTACTGATTTCGAACCTTTTCCAGGTCTTACTTACTTATTATTAGCTTTACGTTTCACATATTTAAATTCGTTATAATAAAGACAAAGATCGATAACCATTGTGGGAAGAACGTAATTCTGGCCAACGTGTTTACTGATCAATATCATTTATCTCTTGTAATTTATCGCGCATGTATTTAATCTTATCAGTAAATGATGCGATTAGTAAAATTTTACTGGCAAAGAAATCGTTCGCTGAGAGTATGTAAATAAGAAACTCAATAGTTGAAATGGGTTTGCTTTAAATTTGGTGATAATTCCATGACCGTTAGAATTAAGCTGACCATCACAAGATTGTCGGTATCAAAATGTAATTAGTGGTCAACAGTGATGGGCGTTTACATGTACTGTATGGGTATTTACCCCGGCTCAGGGTAAATACCCAAACAGTACATATAAAAGTGATACAAGTAAAAATATAACAGATTCGGACAAAAATGTAGAGGAACATGATGAAACGAGCGTTGAAGACGAGGAATTGTCAACGATCGAAGACGTATTATTATCAGGTAACCACTGCTCATTCTACATTCTTGCGACGATGATCCGCCCAGTTCCACTTGAGCTTTGCCACAATGTTGACTACATCATTTACGCCAGTTCTTCGTAGGTCTTCATTTCGTATGTGGTCCCTCAGGGTTACACCCAGCATCGACCTCTCCATCTTTCTTTGCGTTACTTTGAGCCTCCTGGTAATGGCCACCGTTAATGTTAAAGTTGCGGAACCGTATGTCATAACCAAAGGAAGCACGCATTGATTGAAAACCTTTCTTTTCAAATATACAGGAATATCGCTCATGAAGATGTCTCTAAGTTTCCTGTAGGCGAACCAGACTATTG